CCAACTGATACACCTCAACACTGCGTCATCGAAGCGCTCACAAGCCAACTTGTGGCCTGAAACCAATCCTACTGTGGATGGACGAAATCCTGCACAACTTCGAAACAATGGGAAACCATTGTTTGTGGGGGGAATCATCATTCCAGGGTTTCTGAACGGTTGTGCGAAATGGATTTCGTCAAATCCATTTCGTCCATCCACAGTACCTCAGCTGTAAACTAGATTCAACCAAACCCAATCTAACCCGGAGAGAATTTACCGGCCTCAAGTCAGCCCTCAACGCACCATGTAGCACACTTGCCCACATGGATCAGGATGAAGCTGGTGCAAGTGATGCCAGCGATGCCCCTCGTCTAGGCAACCAAGAAAGCAATCAAGCAAGCAACCGATGAAGCAAACAAGCAATAAAGCAATCATACAAGCAACCAAGCAAACATGCAAAAGCAAGCAGGCAATTGGGTAAGCAGGCAAAAGAGAAAGCAAGCAAGCACGCAACCAAGCCAGGCCGAGCCGAGCCACCCAGCCACCAGGCTACCGGGTCACCAAGCAACCAAGCAAACCAAAATAAACCAACCCAACCAATTGAACCCCACCCGCCCACCAATCCAAATCAACCCACCAAGCCCCAACCGACCTTTAATTTAACTCCAGTGCTATCTACTAACCCCCTCTCCCTGAGTACGCACCCTCGTTAAACGTCACCGTCAGAACACTACAACTTCGAGCCTTGAGCAAGCTGACCAGCACCTCTTCTGAACCAGTGAAGGCAGCAGTGGATACCTCCGGATCCAGGCGGTACCTGACAAAATGTAGAAAGATTCCCGGAAAAAAAGAGCGAACGCGGGCAAACCAAGGCGCTATACATGTAATGAGAGTGCAAATTATATGTCCAAACAAAAAACAACAACTTGGGGTTGAAAGGTACTGGCAAATCTTCGGGAAGCCGTCGCATTCAAACATACGAAATATATATATATATATATATATATGACGGTTGTCTGAAATTCCTTGTTCCGGAAACCGCAATCTTCGCGAGAAAAAAATTAACTTTCGCGGACCCCATCGCGGAACTTTCGCGGGGCTGTTCTCAGAACATTCATCACAAAAGTAGTACACAAAGTACACTTTCGCAGCCCCAGCTCGAAAGTCGCAGCTCTTCAGTGCGGCTTGAATACGAAAGTAGTACACGAACTAAACTTCCTCAGCCTCGAAAATCAAACTTCTCAATACGAGAGTAGTACACAAAGTGAACTTCCGCAGCCCCATCTCGAAAGTTGCAAGCTTTCAGTTCCAAAGTAGCACGCGCAGCGCGCTTTCGCAGCTCCAGCTCACAAGCTGTGAGCTACGCGCGAGAGGACCCGTTGGCCTCATGTCCGGAAACTGGCGGGGCCGTTGACTTTCGCGAAACTTTCGCGGATCTTTCGCCAAACATTCGCGAAAATCCGGCTGGAAGTTCCGCTCAACTTGCCCCGACAGCTTCAAAACTCCCAGAAGCTGGTTTTTGCTGGCTGGGGGTTGTTTTTGCAGCGGCGTATTCTTGCGGCGACCCTCAGGCTGCGCATTCTCCAACCAACTTCAGTCTGCGGGCATTCTGCGCGCACTGCCGGTAAATACACATGGTTCATCACTCCAGCTTCCTGTTAGCAAGCCACACAAAACTTTCGCGGAAAAATAATTAACTTTCGCGACCCCCTTCGCGGAACTTTCGCGAAGGTCAACGCTAAGACCAAAAGGTCTTCCCCTTCATAGCTCAATACAAGGACCTTTCGGACGACTCTCATATATATATATAGATTCTCAGGATCATGGAGCTTCTAGTCACAGCCATTCATGCCGAGCGGCTCAAGTTGCCGAAAAATCACATGCAGCTCTGAAGGGCGAAGATCCTTCCAGTTCTCAGCTGTGACAATGCCCTTGTCACAGGTCAGCTGCTGCTGCATGCAGCTTTTGCCTGTTTCCTGCAAAGCGCTTGGCACAAGGATCAAACATCAAAGGCGCTTCGGTTTCGACTTGCCGCGAAATTCTTCCAAGCTCCTTCTGGATGCGCCGCTTGATACTTTGGACCACTCCTTCCAGGGATGGCGCAACCAGGTCTGTGCCAAAGGGAAAGAAATGGCAACCGCGCGGCGAAGAAGAATGCTGGGGCCCACAACAAGTAAACAGGAACACTTCCGGGAAGGCAAAGGCCATCCTGACGGAAGCACAAACCTCTTGCACCGTCTTGGAATAGTCTTGCTCACTGCTTATCGCACCAGCGACAACTGTAGTTGCCAGCACCTTGCTCAGGAACGGCAATGACTTGGACGATAAAACACATGGGTAGACGGCTTTCCAAGCAAACAGACTTGCCTGTGTCTGTCTATGTCTGTGCGTGTGTCTCTGTGATCTGTGTCCTTCCGTGTCTGTTGTTGTTGGTCTTGTATGGCCTTTTGCGTCTCTGTCTTCGTCCGTCTGTCCTTCTAGCTGGCTGTCTCTCTATATGTCAGTCTCTCAGCCTGCCTGCCTGCCGCCTGCCTGCCTATGCGTGTGCGCAGCTTTCTGGTGACTGTGTCTGTTCGCCTGTAGCGGATGCATCTCGGGTTCCTTCGTTGGAAAGATCGATGGAATCCAAGCTCAGGCTATGCTCTGTGCAACTCCCTGCGCTTCCAATGCTTGTTCCAACGCAATTGCTAAGTTTTATTGTCGATTCGACCCTCGAGCCCGCTGTATCTTTATTGTTCACTCGTGGACTCGTGGCGTCGACGCAGAACAACCCATAGTGATTCGTGTTACGTAATATCTTCTTTCAACCGCATAATGTTGGTTTGAATAGGAAATTATCTTGCGTCTTGTGCTGTCTCGCGTGCTAAAATACCCTACACTAACGGCATTCGATCGCCGTAGTCCACAAAATTGGGCAGGCCACTTGTTTTTTGCGACGCAGGTGTTCACGCCACGACGTCCGAATCGAAGAGAACGCCGTTGCACATGGCGGTGCAGTGCGGAAACGTTGTTGTGGGGGGGGGGAATCTACGTTGATCACGGCGAGCGCATGACCACCCGCCAAAATAAACATAGACGTGGCCTGGGGAGCGAGACAAAGCCGGAGCACGGGAAGCCTGAAACCACAATGGCAAACAAAAAAACAAACAAACTGCCACACGGCAATCATCTCAAGAATTCAGCCCAAACCGCAGCAAAATGCTCCGAAGTCAACCCTAAATCAGGCCTAAACAACAGCCCAAACCCAGCCGGGATGCTTCCCATAAACAGCTCAACACCTTCTGCCCCAGTTGCAAAGAAAAGAAGTGGAATCTGCCAAACAAATGGTTGAACATGCTCCTTCATCTGGCGGCTCCAGCTCAAGCAAGAGCTCCCCGGCGACGTTCCGCACATGAATCATGCAGCAAAATGCTTGAGCCCAAAAGCTGGGGGACAATCTTCTCAAATGTCCTTGCTCCAGCATGAGAAATCGCCAGTCAGTCTCCGTGCGAACAACTTTCAAGGAGTTGCTTGGGCTGTCCGCCAAATTAGTCGAGGCCGAAGACCGCCCTAGTAGGACATTGGATACCAAACTTTGAAGCCGCAAAGGCGCCACACCGCTTCGGTAAACATTCTTAAAACCCACAGCACTGTTCTAACCGGACATAGGAATCAAGGAGTCCCCTGTTGTTGATTGAAATTGATAGTCCCCCATGTTAGATAATCTGAATGTTAAAAGTGGTTAACGAAATTATGTTTTTCTTCTGGAATTGGCCCAAGCCATTCAAAGCACGTATTTGTTCAGGGCCCCAACATGTTTCAAGATATTAAATGAACTAATTAGTTGAATCATTAGAATATTGTAAATTGTTCACCGCCCCAAACAGGATATGTTGACCAAACCTCCTACCAGACCGGTAAGGGGGTCTTTCTCTCAAACACTAGTCTCCAATATTGCAGTTCCCTCTTAAAGCAGTCGCAGCACGATGTTGCAAATCACATCGTGAAATTTATGCTGCAAAATTAACACCATTGGGGAAGACTGGAAACTTGCCGGTGAACACTATATTACAGCTTTCTCATCCTCCATACTACCCAGGAAAAACTGTTGCCCCACCACGCGACCTGTACACATGCGATGGTCTGTTGAAAGGACTTGCAGGAAACAACAACACCATCCTGTTCCCACAATCATGGAACAGAACCAAGCACTGTACGATCATCTATAGCAACACAACACAAGAGTGTAATTGCGGTAGCCCCAGTGCTTGGTGGAAATCAACTGCTTGATTGCTATAGTAGATGATGTATCTGTGGTTGCGCCGATCTCCGAGCATTCTTGCTGCCGGTTCGCAGAAACATACCCCGCAGACTATCCACTTGATTGTCTTGGTAAGATCCCTTCACACCGGACGGTGACACCTCTGATCTATGCGTAAGGTGTTGAACATAGGACAAAAATGAAAAGCCACAATAGTCTACATGCTCCTGGGCGTGTCTTTTTTGAGCAAAGGAAAGCACAGAAGAACCACCATTTTGGGGTCCCCCTCTTATGAGACAGATCCTCTTGTTGGCGTCCATGATGCCTTGGTCCACAGCAAAACATTGGAGACTAAGAGCTGAAATCCTCTCCAGCAAGACATGCGGAAGCCTCTGAAACGTGACGACTTGCCACCCTGCCGTCACTCCCGTTCATCCTGCCTTGGTTTCCGTGTCAATGCGCGCCTGCTCAATGAGACGCGCCACCTGCAAAGGGGACAAGAGGTGACGCGCCGTGGAGTGCTCTTCTTGAGGAAGCTATGGTAAACTAGTGGACGCACGAGCTGAGTCAAAATCCAAACCCGGTATGAAAATGGTCTACCCAGAACCATTTAACAACTATTTCTGGTCCCAGCCCCTTACTAACCTTCATCTACCCGGGTTTTGATTGTGGCTCAGCTCATCTTGCGCAACCGTTGTTCTGAAGCAACCTTTGTTCTGACACAGCCCTTTGCAAGCGTCTAGCTACACAAATGGTGCATTTGTGATACTCACTACAACCAACACGAGAGACTTCCTTGCTTTGAACAATGCTGATAGAGGCGTGCTCTGCGTTGCAGGTATCGCTCAGCGCACATTTTTGCAACTCTGTCAGCCGCACGTGATGGAACATAAGCTAAAGACTCAAGCGATTCGATGTGCGGCATGCCTCGGCGGGCCAGCATCTGGTCAAGAGCTTCAAGCTGGGAGTTTGGTGCCGGGAAAGGAATAAGGGGGCCTCACATCCATGGAAATACAAAACTGAGGTACAGTTCTACATGTCATTAGCCACAATAAAGTACAAACATGCAAGCCACGGGCAAAATATGTGGCTTCCCTCCTGGACACACAAGTAGGGAATCCCCCGCTTGTCGTGGGAACACTTGGTGAGTCCCTCAACGTTCATCTCACATTGGCCATAGACTACTGGTTTGCTTGATGGAGCCTCCCAAATGTATATCCAAGTATGTTCATGATTACACACCACGTGCCCCCACTGGCTCTGAAATGGCAACCAGCAAACCACCATCAGCTCTGAATCAGGATTTGGTCTGATGCTGCAAGTGCGGCAAACCTGTGCGCCACTTTCTTCCAAGCTCACTGAACAAACGCGAAAACAATGTCAATCGCAAAGAAAACGCTGTCAAGCCATCGATTGCTTCCGCTGTGACTAAGGCACAAGCCGGAGATAAGAACATGTTGGTCCCATGGCAAGATCTTGCAACTGACCGCCAAACTATAACTACATCTGCTGATACCAGTCCGCCAACTTGAGTCGTGCCGCAAAGCCAAAAGCGTATGGAGAATCGAGTTGTGAAATGGCCATGGGCACCCCCAGTGAACATCCCCATCCCCACTAAAATAAACTAAAATGGGTGGTGCACCTACCCCAAAATGGTACCATTGGTTTTGACCCACAGCCAAATGTACATTATGATACCCGGAAACTGCTCCGGCCCGCTTTGTTCCTTGCTCGCATGTGCTTTGAGAAGCTGGCGCGATGTGTGTGTGTGTGTGCGTACATGCGTGCGCTCATGTGTGTGTGTGTGTGTGTGTGTCTGTGTGTCTGTGTCTGTGTTTTTCAGGTCCTGTCGCTAGATCTAAGGCACTCAAAACCCTCACACGTGCTGATCCTATGACCACCGGTTCAAATACAAGGATCTCCCACGCGTATTGCTGTCAACAGGCACGGTGGCATGGTCAGCTCATGAGAGCAGCTTGGAGCGCGGCAGAAAAATATGTCTGTCCCACTGTTCCACTTTCGCGCAGAGCGGAATCACACCTGCCAGCTCAGCGGGAAGACTCATGCATTTGCCAAACAGAAGAGAAGAGCTTGGATTTGCATAACAAGAGGGATGCCAAGGTAATCTGGGAATATATGGGATATATATTGTATATATATATACATATACATATATATATATATGACACTTGCATGGACAGCACAGCTCCGAGTTCGGAAAGTGAACAATTGCCAGCGGTGAACATGATCCTGACGACTGACGATGTGCGCAACATTAAAGCTTTTGACATGAAAAGCTAAACCATTCGAGCACATAGTGGCCCCAGCCAAGATTTCCACTTCGGCGTCAGCTCTGAGGAAGAAGCACACACACAAAGTGAAGGGATAGTAAATTGAAGTAGACACATATGTCGTATCCATTTTCGTTGCAAATGTTCCTGAATCCAACTTACCAATTCGACACTATTCCGAGTGAACGTGGGTAAGGATTTGTACCTTTGCTCCCCATGCTTTTCAGGATGAACTAGCAAATGGACTCATCAAACCTGAATAAAGAACGCGGCATCCAACCCTTGGTATTTCTTGGTATGGTAGGAAAATACTTTTTTTGCACCCCCTCACTGAAAATGAACAGACCAAAACAACTAAAAACCTAAAACATGCCAACAACAGTGAAGTGGCTCTAATCGTATATCGCTCAAGTTGCTCACAGTTCTTTCAGACTTGGCACATACCACTCCCCCTGCCTGCGGTCTGCTCTGCACAATGAAAATCCTGTCCTGTGGATCCACACAGCCTTCAATGTCCTGCGAGAGCAATTGCTTGTTTCAAACTGAAGCCCGCATGTAGACAATATTACTGGGCTGCCTGAAATTCCCTGCACAAGTTTAACTTTGAGTGCGTTGAATGGAAACTGCCACTCAACCCTAAAAACCGAACAAGCTAAGCAAACAGGTGTCAGGACGCTTATTCAGGGGTCATTGAATTTGCCCCTCAGAATTTGCAATCTACTGGTTACCGTTGACACTCCCACTTGAGGAGGTTCCAGAAAGGGGAAATGGCTTGGATACCCTGCTATTTGCTCTGTGCTTCTAGACGGAAGTTCCCAAGCCCTGACCTACTTGCATCCATCTGAAATCCTGCTTCAAGCCTTGCACACTTCCTAGCTTCTCTCAGAATCTGCGAAAGAAAGACCAGAAACGCCCAATCAACTGCAATCCCTGCGTGGTTTTCCATGGAATGCCGTAGCTCGCACACTAACATAGCTGCAAATGGAACAAGAATCCAGTCTAACTTCGGATTGATTCAAAGGGCTAACAAGTCCCCCAAAATGAATCCCTGACAGAAGCGTGAACAAAGCCTGCTGAGTATGGTCCTCCAAATCAACCCGACGTTGACACTACTTGTTGATCACTCATCACCGCGAAGCAAGTTTCATCAGCCCATCGGCCAGGCCACATTGTGCAATGAAATGACCCGTGAGCGTGTTGTGCCAAACATCGTGCAACATCCTTCGCCTGCATCCATCAACAAGCGCGCCTAGGCTATGATTGATCAGAATCAATCGATATACACAATGCACCACTGCAAGGACCGCTGCACAAAAACAACACGCAAACAGGAACTGCAGAATAATACAAATATGGCAGGGAGATCCACTGTATCGCACAATAGAAAACAATATGACATATTGTGGCAAACAATCACTGTGCAGTACAGTTACTCGACGTAAACAAAGAACACTGGGTGGCTTACACAAGTCATATCTTCCATGTGAATCTGTGCACACACCTGCCAGAACACCCACACACACACAAAAAAAACAAAAAAAGCAAAGCAACAAGTTGCTCTTGTTTCAAGTTGGCTCTCTCTTTAGGATTAGTCTCCTTCCAAACAAATGCCCACACTCTGTTTGACAAACGGGAAGCATGGTACACCCACTTGCAGAGATCGCACTCGGAACCTGGCATCTCATCCTATGGCTTTGGGGCGGCTTGCGGCTTTGGACAAACGAACAAGCGGGGATAATTACTGAGGGAGCGGGTCGGGACATGGGGGGATTCCACCTTGGCGCCATTTCCCATATCAAAGTTAGTCAAGGTGCATCAGACGGGGGAATCCTCAACCGCATCCAACTGGTTCCCCCTGTATCCCTAGTTGGTTTCCCTTGCTCCGCGTCCGAGGCTTCCATCGGTCCTGCGGGGACCCAAAGGCCTTCTCCACGGCGCGGCCCGCCTCCGCCAGTTTGCTGAGCAGGGTCTGGCCTGCGCGCCGTGCGCGTTTCACGGGAAAAAGTTGGGCCCAAGGGAAGATGCGGGGAGGGAACGTCGTTTGGAAGCTACATCCCGGGAGCCAGGGGTAGCACTGGGAGTGAAACGGAAACCAAAGAAAAAAGGAATTGACGCGAGCGGCCATGGATTTGACATGTCAAGCCTGACTCAACTCGATTCCCCATTCCGCGGCGCACGGGATGCCAACCTTTTGCAGGGAACCAAGCGTCAATGAAGGTGCACCGACAGAAACACACCAACGACTTTGGAATGGAACCCCGTCTTAGAAACAGTGTCTGCCATTGTGGAGCAACCGATGGACGACCTTGAGATCAGCGAATGCCGTGCAACAGGGCAGCCGATGCCCGAACACAGCAACACACAGCATATACCCCTGCAATACACCAAGGACTTGTTCGCAAGAACACTTCAGGACGTTTGTTGTTGATGATGCCAAGGCTCCATGTGTTTTAGTTGGTGCTTTCTCATGTTTGAGACAGGTGTCTCTGCAGTTGTTTCTTTTTCAGGTTATGCAACGCGACGCGCTTGTTACGTAAGTGTGCAACGGGAAAGCAGAGCTTGACACTTCCGCATCGCAAGATTGAAAGTCGCAACTACTCAGCGCAAGCCAGGTGACGACAAACCAGGGGTCAGATTTGTAACAAGGTATGTAACGACGATATAACCAGGCATAGCTACCTTTTCCAACTTGTTGTGTGAATGGCGAGCGAGCGTCTCTGCGGGTATGTCCAACGAAAGCCTGCTCTGGCACCCATGGGAAATCACTGAGAGTCTGGTTTGCATCAGGGTTTGCAACGAGGGGCATGCAGCCAGCCAGTTCATTGATGCGTGGTATGTAGCAGAGGTGTGTAACGAGGGGTACGTAAGGAGCCAGCGGGCCTTGGTACACAGGGTAAGTAACAGGGAATGTAACGAATGTCCGCCGCGGCTCTGTTACAATCCCCTCAAGATCCAAATGAGGAACAATTGTGTGCGGTCAAGTACATGTTGCTGAGAGGCTTGCAATGTGCTCCAATAATCAAGCCTTTTGAGCCGAGTACACAAGCCCAATCACGCGGTGGCCTGTGCTCGACGCATCCAGTTACAAAGAGCACATGGCCCTGTCTCTCACAGCCTGCCGATGAGTTGGGACTTGTGCCGCCGCAGTCACCAGTACAGGTGTGTCCAAAAAATAAAACCGAGCCCAGTACGCGCTTGGCTCGCTGATAGTTTCCGTGACGCACAAACCAAAAGAGGTCTCTGAAGCTTAGACGGGCCAAAGCACTGCTCTCGATGCCCACAGGTGAAACTCTCTGGGCGCCCTGCGAAAGCTATGGTCCTCAGCACGAGAGAGAAGCTACGGTCTGTATGCCCCTTCGGAATTGGGAACGGCTGGCACTAGGACCCCAGCCAAAAAAAAAAGCCTGGTGAGCGGAAAACAAAGGGGCACCCCAAAAAGGCCCAAAAAAACAAGGGGAACCAATTCTGGGGAAGTAAACACCACCATTTGGATGAGGCATGCTCATTGCACAAGCTGCCACCTGTCAAATCTGTCCGCCGCTTGCACCCTAAGGCCGCATCTGTAAGTAGTCGTAGCCGGTGGAACCTCACCATGCAAGGAATGTCCGACCTGAGCGCAGTCAGAAAATCTCTATCTTGTCTTCAACATCTACAGTGCGGGCCAAGAGTCCGAGTGGCTCCCACTCATGGACATCAAAAAGCTACAGGCCCATGGCAACTACCAAATGCCTGCGGCACTCGGTTGCCACTGCTGCAAGCTGAGGCCCCGGCGTCGCACAGATCGATTCGAAGAGGCCGGCGCCAGCGAAGCCCTCCAAGTCCTCTCCGTTGCTGTCAGACCGGAAGATGAGACACTCCTGACGGCAACCAGGGCAGAGTGATGGGGAAACCGGCAGGTTTTAGGTAGCGGTGCACATTGAGCGGAACACAGCTGGTGTTTCAGTAAGTATGCAAAACAGGGATCGCTTCGATACACAAGCAGTGTTTATACCGCACAAGCCCAAAACCGTACATATTTTTGCTGGTGCTGCCCCATCCAAAGCCCTCGAACAACTTGCTCTTCGCTAAGTTTGTGCTGGTGTGACCCCTCCAGTATAGTGACACAGTATGAGGAGTCGCACAAACCTCAAGCACTGAACGCACATATGAGCAGCCGCAAGCCAGTATCGCCTCTCTGCAGCTTTGAACCACAAGGCTTCAGCCTTCACAAGCGCATTGGCCAACTCACTCTGCCAATGGAGCTGCCTCAGCTCTTGCTTCGCATTTCTACACATCCTTTCTGAGCAAGGCACCAACTAATCTAATGAACGAGGCGAAGGCGTTTTTGCACAATGATAATTATTCCATCAAAAACTACAGGTTGCTCTACATCCCTCGCGACCCCTACAAGCACTGGTAATTGTGTGATGGAACAAGAAGGCAAATCCTGTCTTTAAACAAACCATGCTTCAAATATTCAGTTCCCGTAAATAGCATAGGGGAAATTAGCGAGTCCCCCATATCCCTGCCAAACCCAATACTGATTGCTACTTCCGAACTCGGAGCCTCTCCCAATTTGAAGTTACTCGCATGCGTTGACGCGCCTGTGTCCGCAGCAACGTGCTTTTGCTCAGGAAGGAGGTCACCACTGGCGTTTCGCCCTTCCTGCGCAACATAGCAATGCACACCCAGAGCCCTTGCAAAGATCCAAGGAAAGCTCGTAGTAGCCATACCAGCTACAACCGGGTATTTAGCAAAGAGTGCTAAACAAATGGCCCGCACAAATGACAAACTTGCTGGAAAAAGATACGTGGTTGCCAACGCAGTACGACCGCAAGTCCAACTGATTGCCTACCAGGCAGGGTGGTTCCCTTGAACGGGTATACTCCACCACGACACCACCCACCTTTTTGTCCAGCCATTATGATTGTGGTCCGTGTCAGCCATTATGATTTGTCCAGCCATTTTTGTCCAGCCATTAGGGGACAAACTTATCTCTGGTCGGGGGGGGCGTGGCGGCCAAGAATGATGATGGTCGAGCAGCGCTAAGCGAGAATTCAGAGGAGATCAGCCATGACGATGGAATAAAATAGCTTCTGTTTCAACACGGGATACTGTTCTGCAAGTTACACAGACATTCCATCATGTGGGTGTGGGTCAAAATTAAACCACCAGGAATTGGACCGCGGGTTAAATCGTCCATGTTTCCATTTACTGAGGCAACCCATTTTGGGGCTACCCTATTTTTGACAACCACAGGACAGCCATGTCCAATAATTTGGATCCCAAAGTAAAAAACCTACGACACGTGAGCGAGCTCGTTTTACCCCAGGATAGTCAGGACTCCGCAAGGCTGTACACGGGCAAAAAGGCCAGCTGTTTCGCAGCCTGGTGTGGCTGTGGCTCAAAAAACCGGTACCAAAACGGAACCCTGGTAAGTGGAAACATGGAACAAAACCTGTGGTTTGCCCCTCCTTTTGAGCCACACCCATGTTTTTTTTGTGTTTTTGTGTTTTTCGGTCAAGGCTGTCTCAGCAATGACCAGGAACCGCCGTCAGACGGATTTCTAATTCCTGAAACAATTACAGGTCCAAGTCATCAGCCGTGAAACAGCCCAATGGGCAGGAGACTGGCACAATTAGCCCGCTCGGCAACTGGGGGTTTACGCAACACAACACAGAAGCAAACACCTGGATCTGCAACGCGTGCGCGCACATGCGCCGTCCCACTACAAGGCATTCGGTAACACAAATGCACAACACGCGCAATGGCAAGCATCTCAATCGCAAGTCGACCCGCCGCTGCAGGCTCCCTGCATTGCGGTGCAGATTCGCTTCTTGGCGTCCAGCAGGCTTTGAGCATAGCTTGCGGAGCACTTGCTGAACATGTCTCCACTGGGGCCGTGCATGCAATGAATCTTGATGGTATCAAGCAATTTCTTCATTGCGTCTTCCATGACTTCCTTGTGAGCTGAGAGCGTCTCGCAACGCCCGGACTTGATGAAGCAGTGGAAGTCCGGCTTGCCCCCGACGGTGTTCTGATCGAAGACGGTCATGTGATAGCGTGCCGGGACCTTCCAGAGTTCGCATCGGCTCTCGGAGGTGCGGAACTCCGCGGCGCGGCACTCTGCTCCCATCTTCTCACATCGATCCTTGCAATCCTCCATGGTCGTGGACACCACCTCTGCTTCCTTTGGCACCACTTGCTGGTCACTGGGGCTCTGCCGACACACGGTTCCAAGACCAAGAGATAGGAGATGCTCCGACTCCGCATCTAGTTGCACAGCTTTGCCAAGTGAGCCTGTGATCGTGGTGCCGTTCTGGTAGGCGAAGAGTCCGACACCAATGACGATGCCGATGATTGCTGCGATTGCTGCGATGGCTTTGGTACTTCGCGCTTTCGCGGGCAACTCCTCCTTCTCGATCATTGGGCTTTCAACACTCCCCTCCTCCGCCATTGCAAAGGCCTCAGGATCCTCGTGCTGCCTTTTGCAGCCGGGTGTATTCAGTGCTTAAGCTCGGAATTTGCAAACCCCCTCCCCATTTCTCAGGGCTTGTTGATTGCCAATATACCAATGTGTTGCCAGCTTCTTCAAACCCTTTGTGCAGATTGCCTTTGGGTCGGTGCGCTTTGCAGCTGCGGACAGGCGCTTGCAGCTGAAGTGCTGGCGCTTCCGATTCCAAAGCCAACAGATTTGGGGGTTGATCAAAGGGTCCTTTACATCAGATGACCATTGGTTGGACAACCACTAAAATGATATTTCAATTAAATCAGTAACGTTACCCTTGGTCAAAACTGGGGGCCTTTAACGGGATATTGGTCTCAAGCCCCATTTTGAAGACTCAACCCTTCGGCTTAATGATCGAGTACCGCCGCGCCTTGCTCGAAAGCTCAGGGCGCGCCCCGGGTAGTTGCCTACCTCGCGAAAAGATGAAATCCGCACGCCGACCGCAGGGACTAGCCGACCGAGATATGACACGTTCACAGAGTCACAATCAAAACCCGGCATCAAAATGGTCTACCCGGAATCATGCAAAGAACTAACTACCAAGGCCGCGCCCATTCATGGCTTGGATTGTCCCTTACTATCCTTCAATACCCGGGTTTTCATTGTGACTCATATGATTTGATAAGGGCGAACAGCGATCAAAATGGTCAAAAGCTGCCGAAGTGAGGTGGGCAATTGAAAAATACTCAAGAGCTATTACGTGGGAACAGGACGATGTCGTCTGATAAGGTTGAGAAAGTATGTCAAGTGACAATCATGTGCATGTATGCAAACGCTGCTAATAATGCGAATAATATGTGTACTCGTGTGTGTACCAGTGTGTGTGTGTGTGTGTGTGCCCGTGCGTGTGGACAGTGTTTAAACGGCTGCAGGCGTGACAACTATTGACATCCTGAAGCGGCGGCTTCAACAAGCAACCCAGCACCTGAAGTCTGAATGCTGCATGAGTCCGATCCATGTGCAAATATAACCGCAGCTGCCCAGGACTGTAGAAATCGCTCAGGGAGCCCATCCGAAAGTGTGAGTCGGTTTTTGAGCTACCATCTGAGAGATGGTTTTCAGTGGCAGCTGACCTACGTGGGACCAAGCAAACTGACAGTGTGGACCGTAGGTATTAGCTATGACGTCGTTTGTACCGCATCAGTGTAACTGAGCGGATTCACAGCGCGCAGCTTGTTTACAGTTGCCTGCAAGTTCTGTCTGATAGTAAATGTTTGGCAAAGTCCCATTCAAGCTACCGGGTGATTCATCTCATCTCTAGGTGTTGACTCAAAACCTTCAAAAATCCGAGTGAGCGACATCCAGCGCCGAGCCCAGCCAAGGGCCAGGCCAAGGTTTCACCTCTACCTGGCACCACCTGCGTGAGACTGGAAGCTGACCAATGCTCAGGCAATGCTCACAGGAGCTGACCAATGCTCACGGCAATGGGCTGTGGGCCACCAAACAAATTTCCACCGGACGCTGGAAGAGGGACCTTGGAAACTGGTGCTTGAGAAACACTGCTTGACAAGAATTGGCCCAGTGCCAGGGTCAACTGTCGTAGTTTGGGCTTATGGACGAACATGCAGGCAGCCTGCAAGCGACAAGAAGAACCTCCAGGTGCCAATTGGAGCATCAATGAAAACTATAAATTATAAACAATAAACACATACACATCGTCAATGACCCCATGTTCAATGACCCCATGTTCCCGCTGGCAAACGTCGATTTTAAACGAACCATTGCGATTGAGCATTGAGGTTGTTCAGCCTTTCTTCTCAAGGAAAACAACGATCGCTTTTCAACTGCAAGTTGTTCCTTTCGCGGTACGTGTTGAACTCTCCAAGCAATGACGTCCTCTGCCACAGGGCAGAACGCCACAAGTAAAATTCCTCCATCTCCGCCAGCCGTATTTGATTGTGGCGTATCAGGTTCGGCTGAATCCTTGCGGCCCTGCCTCGCCGTAGACTTCATTGGGATCATTGGTGAAGGGGTTCCTTGGCTCCAGTCTTACACCCGCAAGGGACCCCAAACAGTGCGAAGAGGAATAGGGAGGAGCTGCGTATATAAAGAGGATCTATGAATCTATTTAATATAGAAGGTCCTGTCCCAGATCTTTCTGAATATACGTAAGAAGGTACTCATAAGGCCATACCTGAGATCTCCTTGCAGAATCTCTAACAAGGATCAGCACAAGCTCTCTTGGCGGGATCTCGACATCCAGTCCTACAAGATCGGTCTGCAAACGCTCTACAAGGCCCATGGTAGGTCCTGCGCAAAACCTCTTAATTACTGGAAGCGCATGCCAACAACTCTTGAAGAGCATCTAGAAAGAAGGTCCTGTGCAAGATCTCTGCTGAGGGCATCTGTATAAGGTACGCGTACGCTTCTGCGCAACATCTCCAAGCAGAACCTCAACAGGGAGCAGTGTGCAAGATCTGGCGGCGAGAGCTCTAGCCAAGGTCCACAGCAGGTCCTTGTGCTAGATATGTTGCTGCAAGATCAACTTCGATCCAATGCAGCCAAACTCCATAGAGGTGTTGCTTGAGATGATGGAAATGACGCAAAGGGTTCACTTGAGGTCAGGAATTCACATCATAGCGAGAGCGGTCCGATGCGCTCGGGGTTTACGCTGCGCCGCACTAAAAGCGTTCCAACGCGCCCAAAGTATGCAGAGGGCTCGCGATCGATGTGACAAATCTGCACCACATCACAGCGAGAGCGATCCGACACAGCCAAAGTCCGCAGAGTGTTCGCTTTCGATGGTAGAAGTTCGCACCGCGCCTCAGCATAAACACTTCAACGCACACCAAAAGTCTGCAAAGCGCGCCCATCCACGGCTTGCGGAAATCGCCCGGCACCACAGCAAGAGCGCACCCTCGAAATGCACTTGCGTTAATTTGGAAACAACTCTTGCACGAGTTGGCTCACACGAAACGATGACGGGCACCATGCGAAACTTCAATCTACCCATGCCTTACTCTTTCCATCAACAAACCAATTAGTGCAAACTCGGTGCAGACCCATGGAGAACCTCATTTTGAAAGACCTGAATATCCTGTTCAAAAATCTATATCAGCTTCGTAAGTCGAACAATGCAATGATGCCATGACATGCCACGCCTTCTGGAACACACATACTGTTAGCGTCCGCTCACAGCCAACGCTGAAGGAGAGTGAGCAGGCAGCCTTGTGTAAGTGCTTGCTGAGCATTATCATGATCGAAGCTATATGCAATGGTTGCACAACTAGCGTGGGGGAATTCCCATAAGTCTAGCATTGATGACTTTCTATGGTTCTTCCCCACCGGAGTCAGCCACAAGAAAGGTTCCCCTGACTGATTCTTCGGGAACAAGGGTCTACCAGTTGTGGCCGAGGCTCTTGGTATGCAGCACAAAGGCGTACTTTGCTGGCAGGAGCTCCTGATGTGCTACGGTCTAACACTAGAACCTGCGCTTAGTATTGCAAGTAGGGAACCGAGGAAACCCTGCCAATTCCAGTGGTTTGCAGCTGGTGTACTTGCAATATTTAGGGCATCTACCTTGTCGGTGAGTCCTATTAGGCCCCCCTTGCGTTGCAAGCCTGTCGTTGCCCTTCAAGGAGACATGACCGTACCCGTCCAAACAGCGGCCAGGGACGAAAGGAAGCACGCCAACCATCTTGGAAGGTCCAAGATCAAACAAGCAGCTGAACAAAGAGATTCGTCTAGCTCAGGATACAGAGCTAGGTGCCCATGCACATAAGTCGTGCCAAGTCCTGCTCCGCCAAGGAACTGCTGTGAGGCATCATGTGTTCCACCTTCCAGTACTGCATGCGATCCGAATCCTGCGCCTCTTGAAGCAAACCGCAGATTGGTTTAACCATAGCACGCCGAAGAATTGCCAATACGAAAGCGAGCCAAACGAACCATTCCTGCACGAGCACGGCCATGTTGAGGTCGTAGAAGCTCCGACCTGCCTGAACAGTGCGCGCCAGCAATGCGGTGTAGCTTCCCAACACGTACACACACGCATGATGGGGGAAGCAGCGAATGTAATCCGCCTGGCCATGTCTTGGGCAAATCTTTATCATGCATGCCCGCAAAGCTGTGTGCAAACTGCTTTGACTGGAACAAGTCCTGCCCTGAGGGCCTAATAACATCGCCCATGTGGAGCGTATCATCAGTAACATGTTCAGTTGGGATGTTTAGCAGAACACTTGGCGATATTGACACATGTCCTTGCTGCAAATGCGTGCTCACGGGCCTCAAGTCAAATATCTACCTTGCCTTCTGCAAATGAACCGTCAACATATGATGCTCCCGTCATAGGGCAATTGTGCCCCCTGGCGTGGGAGATTCAGAGCTCCCCAATGCCTCCACATTAGACCCTCCCGACATGGTGGGTTTCCTGTTGGCGTCCTTTAAAACCATGAATTAAACCATGAAAAAAAAGCGGAAAAGCCGGGTTGAATGGGACCGGTTTTAGATTAGACCCTGTTTTAAAATCATTCTCGACCTCTTTAAACCTCAAACCGACCAGCCACCCGTTGAGAGCTCGTCCCACAGCCCTGAATTGACCATCGCCTTGGCCAAAGACACCCAGGGCCGCAAGCCAAAGAGAGAGGCCCACACCTCGCGGAGAGATAGTCTGAGTCGAGATAGTCTGAGTCGACATTGGCATTTGGAGTTGGACCCCCGTCAAACAAAAAAGAACAACAAACAACATCAAAAACGGCAAAGCACAACAAGGTGGTTCCCTTTTTGTTGATTCCTTTGTTCTGTTTAATGGTGAACAGGGCAACCATTGCGTGATGTTGCGTAAAATTACGGGAAGATTGCAGGGGTCTTCAGGTTACCTTCAGGTTGGAAAGAACATATGTCATCCCCCCCCGGACATGCCCATCCATGGCAGGCTCCAAAACGTCCTGCGTGGCCATGTGAGACCTTCCCCAGCGAAAAGTCCAGCGAAGGTTAAAAGAGTCGCGAGTTGGTGGGAACCCCAGCTGAAAACCGACTCCTTTGCACACTTTCAACATCGCACGTATGCTGACTGGCCAGGAGGTTGCGCAGGATGAGACATAGTTGGATGCCGAGCTTGGTGTGGGGAGCGCAAGTTGAAGAAGGCACAAAACGGCCTTTGTCCTTCAGCCATGTCGCCAAGATCAAAGAAGGCACACAGGTAGGAAGCATCGCGCAACTAGAGAAGCAACAGGGAAACACGGTCAAATGTCTGCGCTACAATCGGAAGTCTGGACGCGCGTCCAGAGGATTTGGCGGGTTCCCCCAGATAAGCGTGCCTTCTCAAGGGTTGGCATGTCTGTTGCTCAGCCTTGGCTCTGGCTAGATATTTTTAGGCATCACCAGTTCAGAGGCATCACCAGCATCAGAGGCAGCACCAGCATCAGCTGCAGCACAGGCATGACCAGCAGCCATGGATGCGGATTTGCGCGTCGCACATCGCCAAACAACACAGACTCGGATTTGTGTCCGGGCCTTCTCCGGATTTTGCGGGCCTTCTCCGGGCTTTGCGGGCCTTCTCCGGGTTTGCGTGCTCCCCCAACCTCTGCGTGCTCGCTCCATGTTTATTTTATTTTTCTAAAAAAAAGAAGAAGTTGAGAAGGCACTGCCACTTAGGAAAAGCCTATGGCCAAACATGAGGTACCTACAGCAAAAACGCCCATCGGCTTTTCCCCGGGGTATCGTGCCTCTTTCTTTTTTGGCGGTTCCCCCCCAGCCGGTTCTGCGTCGGCCTGATCGGGTCCCCTCCTAGCTGGTTTTTGACCACAGGGAAAACAACAGGGTTCCATTTCCAGTCCCAGGGGCCCAAATTGCTTGCGAAATAGCGCCGAAAGAGTACTCAGTGCGTTGAACCTTCGTGTGAGGGGGGGCAGCTGGGAAAGCAATCATCAAGTAAATTCATGTCTGGGTATAGCGCCCTTTAGAACGGTTCCAAGCATTGAGCAGGCATGGTCCCCTGGAGAAGCCTCGTGGATGGGGGTCCAGACCCTCGATACAACGTTCCACAACGAAGGTGCAAAGAAAAACCATCAATCACCCATCTGGGCCTATGGACCAAAAAAAACAACGCCTTTTGGTTCAGCTGAAAAAATCAAATCGATCGATTCGCTCGCCTGCTTGGTGGCATCCCAGGCATCGCCCCGGTGGTACAAATTCAGCAGGCGCTTCTCGCCCTCCTGCCAGGCGGGCGGCGAGCGAACGGCCGGCAGCGAAAGGAACGGAAGGCGAGCGGGGAAGGCGAGCCGCTCGCCTTGACCCAGAAGTCTTTCCTTTTACCAAATCTGATCATCTGTACCTTCCTCCTGCCTCTCATGGCACCAACACGAAACATACAACGTAGGATATATTGTGGCTTTCATGAATAAGACCGGTTCCGATTCTCTCATTCCAAGAGAGGCAACGTCGTAGCGACGCCTATCGCACAAAACAAACGACAGAGTTGGACATGACTAGTGACGACGCAGCTTCCATAACTCATAGAAGGTGGGACTAAGCACCAGTCGGACGAATAATTGTCCAACTCGTCTCCTTTCGGGTTTCCATCACCATTCCAGGCACCCAATTCTTGCTGTGCACGAAAATCGCCTTTGTCCCCGTGGCACACGACAGTCCGGCGCTTGCGCTGCCTTGCTGCCCACCTCTTCCATGGCGCTTCGCAGAGCCTGAGAAACCCAAAGCGCACTTCTTGGACTATGAAATAAAATCCGGGGGCGTGAGGTGAACCAAGAGGAGAAAGACACGGAATCCTTGCTTGGAGGATGACGCAAATTAGTCTTTTGAGGTGAAGAAAGTGAAGCGCTGATTGAAGGAAATGGGCAAACTTTGGACAAAAGGGCTGGCAGTCTTGCCTGCGCGAGCCTTGCCCGCTTCTAGATGAAAATGCATCTCAATTTACTCGATGGCTTCTCCTCCCCAAACCACTGGTAACCTGACAAGGAGGACAGCATCGACGTTCTTATCAAGCATAAAACACCTGGACCACCAAGGGTATCCCTATTTCTGATGTTCTATTCACCCCATAATTATGATATACAGCATACAGCCTCTGTTAGTCTGAAGAGAATCTTGCACATGACTTTAGTCCAGCTGAGGTCAAAGCTTGGTCCAGCTCCGATGGCATCTGCAAAGCGTTCACATAGACCTGACAGTCAAGAATGGTCAAGGCACGTCTCGGCTCGCTTCCTTTTCTGCCCCTGCCCCCGCAAATCCCACCCTTAAAACCTGCTGGATAACTCTGACACTACATTTTTGCTTGGACTCACTAAACACATCCTTCCCAGAAAAACCTCACGGCTCGAAGACGCGCCAAGCAGTGCTTTCCCCACCCGGCGACGGCGCTCGCTGCCTGGGCCTCCTGGAAGATGGTCTTGGCATCCTGCGCAAGCCGAGGCGGCGCAGCCCAACGTGAGAAGTGTTGCGAAGCAACACGCATGGGAAAGCGGGCCACTTCTCATTCTTGGGAGAACGGGTCATGTTGGTTGGGGAATGCAAGAACTCGGGAGAAGCCCGAGTTATGGCCAGTTCAACTGGCAAGTGCAAGATGTGCAGCCGCTTCCTGCGCAGGCCCGAAGCTCAAAAATTCCTCGTTCCAAGCCGTGCAGGTCAAATCTCTTCACTTGGGTCTCTCTCTCTCTAAAGAACCCCCAAAGTTTGCCTTCCGTGTTCCAGTTGCTTTCCCTCAAGCGCCAAAGAAAAAAAACAAGGCGCCAACCGAAAAACGCGAGCCACGCGTATTTCCCCCCCCAACCGCATCCCGATCAAACCCCACCCCCGGACTCGACTCGTCGCCTCGTTGCTACTGGTGGGCTGCAGCTGGGCCAGGCACGCCTCCAGCTTCGAGAGCCACTCCTGACGGTCCAAATCCCGTTCCGGCGGTCGGTGGAGGGTGGCGAAACCCATGGGACGCCATGCAGAAGCCAGGGGAAACCTGTAAGGAAAACCAGGTTTTAACCGCTGGTCGTGGACGTTTATTTAAAAAAAAGAAGAAAGAATCATCTTAGGTGTGCGTTCTTGGTTTTGGGGGGCATGCGAGGCAAGGGAAGGATCTACGGTGGTTGAGACATCCAAAAGCAAGGCAACGCAAGGGTTTCTGATTTGATGCCTCAACGTAAATACCAACTGCTATGGGTTCATTCCCATGGTTTCATTTCGCGGTGCGAAATGGATTTCGCAACCATCCACAGTAGGAGTTCACCACGATTTCTACGGGTGAAATGCTGCTTCGCACATCATGGAGGGCAACCGGCTTGGGCAAAACAAGAAATTGAGGGACATTCGTGGGTCAATGAAAGAAAGAACATCTGGCACTTTCGCGCAATCATGCGGGGGGGGGGGTACATTCGCTGAGAGAGGTGTCAAGGGACATTGGGATGGAACATCAACAAAAAAACGTATCAATGTTCATGATGGCATCCAGCCAATCAACAAACACACTCCGAACCAAACAGGGGTAGCTGTTAGCCGTTGATTGGAGGACTTTTGTGACAAAGAAAAAATCCTTGAATGGGGGCCGGTTGCTTTAGACTTGTCACGGTGCCACTTGGTCTGACAAATCTGAGGGTGAGTGGTCATGGCAAACATGCTCACTGTCAACTCGAAATTACTTGAAATCCAGCCTTGTGCCGTCAAGTTGCCATCCCTTTTCTGGTGGCTTGCCATATCTAAGCCAATGATCGCGATTTCAATCAGAACATCCTTGTTCAGGCTTTGTTGTTGAAGTTTAACTTAACAGATCTGACACGCTCTGCGCTCCAAAAGGGATGATGGTGGCTGGAATTGCATCATGGGACATCCGGTTTGGCCAAAACCTGAGCCCACTCTTTTCGTTCGCGAGCCCTTCTTCCGGCTGAATATCTCTGGCAGAGCTATGGATCTGCGGAAAAAAGAAAAATAAAAAGACAAAAAGCAAGCTGAAAAGGGATGTGCCAGGTGCATGGCAGCGTCACGTCATAAAACGCACCACAATTCCATGATTTCCAAACATGAACGGCCTGACCCCCTCCACAAAGCGCGCTGCCACGGGATCAACACTGCTTTGCCGGTCGTAGAAGGGTGGTGGGTCGAAAGTGCGAGAGGGTTTCGGGCTCGGGGTGTAGAGTTGCTGGGGCTTAGTGTTGGTTGGGGTTTTAGCTTTGTTGGGGCTTGAGATTGCTTAAGCCAAGGAGGGTTTAGACATTTCTACTGCGTTGGGGTTCCATCCCTTACTCACCCTGTTCTTGTCGCCGTCCTTGGCATTTTCTCTGCTCGTCAACGCCTTCTGCATCGAGCCGTACGGCATCGCCTGCAAGTCGATGTTGACATTGTGGCTATGCCTCTCTCCCTTTTTTCTTGTGCAGTGAATGGCATACCCCTGTGCATACGGGGAAATCCTTGTTGGTTGAACACTGATGCAAACATAAACCAAGCGTTTAGAGGAGTCCTTACTTCGTGATAAACCAAACCCGCACGACCTTTACAAACATGGGTCAAAGCGCCCCGCCACTGCTTGGGGCGTCAGGATATCCTTCGGCAGCTGCGGCTTTAGCCTCAGCGTTCCCGCGGCTGTAACTATGGTCGAAGGTGAAGTGATGGCTCCCGCTTACACATATATAATCTGGGAGTAAACCGTACTCATGCTTATACCGCATGTCATCCATTCATCCACTCTGGTGGTGTTGATGATGATGGTGGTGATGATGACGGTTGTGGCAGTGGTGGTGACCTTGATGATGACCACGGCCCTGGCCCACTGATAAAATGCAATCTGCTAATGATGGGATACATTCCAACTCCTATAAACTATCCAAATCGTGCAAGTCAACCCAGCGCAACTTCCGGCCACCCGCTGGAAAATACATGTTCAATACCTGCAACATGCAAGGCATCAGCTGCACGGAATGTTGGCCACCCCGCAAGCGAAACACGCTGCAGCGGCTCGCATCAACGGCTCGAACCAGCCCACAGCGTCAGCAGAATGAGGCCCCCACAGCGCCAGATTTAGGCTCTTGCTACCCACCTGGCCAGGGCAACACGGAAACTTGGGGCGTCCGAAGCGGTGGTAGGGTCGGAACACAAACCGCACACATCCGCACACCATCGAAAAAAAAGATGAAGATTCTCGCTTCCGGGCTGCAACAAGGGGCAACGGGTTGCCTCCATGGCCACACGGAAGACACCTGGGTGTGGGTCAAAATTAAAGCACCAAGGGACCACAGGTTTTACTCTTTGGTTCTATAGGGTTCCATTTTGGGTACCCATTTTTGACCCGCGGCCACTTCGAATCTTCCGCTCCCGAGCCATTCTCCGCCCCTCTCACCATACCTTCGACACCCGCGCCTTCGATTTGTCCATCTTCTCAGGCGTGACGACCCTCAGCCGACGCCCATGCACTTTGACTATCCGCAGCGATTTTGAGTCAGCCCAGACCATTGGCAAGTCTCAGAGCCGCACCATTTGCACCCAAAGTCTTCCTTTAGGTTCATGTTCACGAGCTTGGTTGAGTCTGGCGTTGGTGAAGCATAGGGTGCTCGTTCCTTGTTCCAAACAATAATTAACTGACCCCGTGGCATCCGTGTTCCGCAAACATGCGCAAAATGCTTTTAGACCCTTCATTCCTTCTCTCCACACAAGTCTCAAAACACAAATAATCATTAAAGCAACTGGCAACTTGAGCATTCGCGCGCGCCTGTTTCTTTGGACATCAGCTCCTGAATCAGCGACTCCGCTGTTGGCTTCCGTGATGCCCATCACTTCCAACTTTCCCATGTCTTGGATTTGATCGGGATAGCTCCCGCCAAAGCCAACCAGTTCCAAGCTAGAATGAGCTTCGACATGCTGATGCAACAGGCTACACCTGGCCCACAGTTCAGTCCTGGGTGAGGTCGCGGCTGGCACTTCTGGCCATCCTTGGAACGCAATTGGACTTCGCCCTCTGTGAAGATTTTACTCAAGTCAAGCCCTTGCAGCACTTGGATGTGCACGTGTTTCAGCCGTGCCGGCCAAGCAAAGAAGACCCATTCAAAAATACCAAGAAGTGCATTTTCGTATTGCTTCTGCTTTTCAACAAACCCGCTGGCAAGTGAATGCTGCGCCCGTGGTGGACGATACTGTGCCTCATGTTCCCTCCTTGTCAAGGCTCTAGAACTGAACTCTGACTGTGCAACCTCCATTCCTAGGGAGCATCAACCTTGCTTCGAAGCACGGTATTTTGTGGTGGGCATGTACTCGAGGCAAGCGAAATCACCGCCAGATCCAGTATTGCTTGATTCCTTCTGTTTGCAAGTTGCTCGACTACGCAGTGTTGGGCATTGCATTGATGCGCAAGAAAATGCAGCGCAAGAAAATGCATGAGAAAATCCGTGGTGCGAAATGTCCCAAAAATAATATATTTTTGCACACAATGAAGGTCCTAGGTAAGCATAATCCAAAGACTCCGTGAATCAAAACCTCCGAGCCCGGGACATGCGCATGCGCTTGGGGTCCGCCATCGGGCGCTCAGCCGCCTAGCGCGAAACAAAGACAGCACTCCAACGGACAAGTTCAGATGCAATGAAGATCTTTGATAGCGCAATGCGGGCGCGAAATACCTGTGTATACAACAAATGCATATATATATATATGTATACATATATATAGTTATGTATATATATATAGTTATGTATATTGGTTGCCACGGCCTCTTGCCATTCTCCAACTGCGCGTCGAACGCGCGCGCGAAATGTAACCAGCAAGCCATCTCGCCTTGATTTCCACGGAGCCGTCCGCAGAGCAAACCACCTGCCAGAGACAAATGAGGGCATGGGTCAAAATCCAAATCGTACCAGTGAACATCCGATTCCATCCAACCACTAAAATAATTAGGTTCCAAAATGGGTGGTGCATTCACCTACCCCAAAATGGGATCCCGTTGCTTTTGACCCACAGCCACAAGGGCTGTGTGTGCCTTTGGCAACTTTCAGACGAAAACTCTCGCAGCTTGGGATGGACCATGTACCCGGCGCAAACTGTAACAACGGCCCTCACGGAGGAGACGGTTCCACACCTTGTGTCCGCATAAAAGGCATAAATATGCTCCCTCATAGCTTCAAGAAAGAAACAACTGAAAAGGATGGTTTGCAAAGGTGACACAATCCATCCCAAACGCAATAATTCATGTCTCGAACTTAAAGAGCTAGGTACAATTTGGACTCTCCAAAAGTGAGGCACACAGAGCCCAGCCTCAACATGCCCACCGTGTGAGGAACTCCCCATTTCAGCTTGGATTTGGTTTTGGAACGTATTTGGAGTCTACCACCGCTATATCACGCGCGCGCCAGCCACCCAAGGACAAGATGACAAGGTGCAAATCTGCGGCACATCCAGCTGTACTTGGTCAGGCTTGAACCCCTGCTAAGAAAAATGGCTGAGAAGGAAAATGAAGGGACGCCCAGGCCGAGAGGGGCAAACAAGTTAGTTGAGTTTGGCAATGCAGATCCATCAGGGCCGCAGCCCGTTCAGTCAACCGCCTTTTCTGACGTCTGGCAGCTCGCGCCTGAACCCATTGCCCCAAGAGCTCCGCTTCGATTTTTTCGGTGAGGGTGGAGTCGTAGCAGGACGCCAGGAGCACCTGGCCACGCTCAGCTCGACAACGCCAAAATAAGCAGGGGCGACATGTTCTCATACTCTGGTCCTATCAGTATGACATAGTATGACATTATGTTTTGAGTTTGTTTGCAATTGCCCTACAACCTCATTCTAGTGGTCTGAACAAGCAAGTATTACTTCAAAACAATGAGGCTATCAATATATTTGTGCTTTGACTTTGTTTGCAATTGCCCTACAACCCCATTCTAGTGTCTGAACCCCAGCTGAGCACATATTTTTTTTTGGTCAACACCCGTGACGTATCAAACGCCGACGCAAATACATGCGGGATGTATGTCAGCCTTCAAACACCTATGCGCGCCTACGCGGTTAGAGTTGGGCTCTCCAAGTCCCTACGCTGTGTCTGTGGGCGTTTCGTGCTAAAATTCGTACGCGCGCCTTACGGGCAAACTGTCAAGTCGTTGGCCGCGGTGCCTACGCGAGCTCCCCAGCCGACTGTGAAAAAGTGGCGACGTAGGCCGCCTGCGCGCGCGCAGTAGTGGGCCTACGCGGAGCCGAGCCTGAGATGTCCACTCTCTTTTGTTCCTATACTACCGTAAAATATCTCTGCTCAGCTGCAGCTCGTCTTCGCCTCTTCAGGTGAAGGTCACCCTGTCTTTAGTCGATCATCTGTTGAGCTACAGCTCTTCTATACATCTTCTTGCCCTCGCATCTTTGAGCACCGCAACACACCAAGGCACCACGAAAAACTTCGAGAAGTTGAACCAAAGGCCTGCAAGGACCGGAAGCCATTCCAAACTCTAAATGTGCTTCCGCATCTTGACAAATATTGTCACGATGAAACAATCTCAAACCTCGCACGGACGCTTCACATGTCAAATTGTGCCTTGCTGCGACAGCACGACCACATGCGGATTGCAACTAGGCCTGCAACCAAAGCTGACTGCTGTGACACACTTCCATTCCAAATGTAGAATCCCAAATGTAGAAACATGTCGCGATCTGATGCAGCCTGATTGGGAGATGCTGGTGCAACAACCCTGTACCACGCGTGAACTTGTCTGGTTGGGGTGGGCCCCTCCCAGTAGTATCCCAAGCCATCCAAGAGTTCCCTTTCAACCAAGATGACAACAAACAAACCTAGAAACAAACCAACAGACAAACCAACAAACAAACCTACAAAAAATACAACAAACAAACCAACAAACAAACCAACAAGCAACCAACAAACAAACCAACTAACAAACCTACAAAAATACAACAAACAAACTAACAAACAAACCAACAAGCAAACAACAAACAAACCAACTAACAAACCTACAAAAAGACAACAGACAAACCAACAAACAAGCCAACAAACAAACAACAAACACACCTACACAAAATACAACAGACAAACCAAAAAACCAACCAACAAACAAACATACAAAAAAACAACATACAAGCCAACAAACAATCCAACGAACAAACTACAACAGACAAACCAAAATATAACAGACAAACCAACAAAATTACACCAGCCTTGACCCCAAACAGCCAAAACACATGACAGGTCTGTATAACCCAAAAAAAGCCTGTCTCCTTCATGTAAGGTGCGCTGCGTAGCTTCTGTGAGCAACACGTAGTTACAATCAGTCCAGTGGGAGAATCTGACTGCAGAGACTGGGAGACAAGCGGGAGACACGACCCAGCATGTGCCAGAGCCAGCGTCTCAGCTGGCAGCTCACCGCAGAGACTGGGCCGGAGCCGGCGTCACAGCATCTGGCATCTGACCGCAGAGACCGGGAGACACGGGGAGACAAGCGGGAGACACGACCCTGGAGCCAGCGTCACAGCATCTGGCATCTGACCGGAGAGACTGGGAGACAGGAAGACAAGCGGAAAACAGGACCCCGGAACCGGCGTCACACTTTCCCATTCTCTATACCTCAAGTTAGAACCCCAATGCTTCGCTGTTTGGGAAAAACAACAGACAAACCAACGAACAAACAAACAAACAAACCTACAAAAAACAACAGACAAACCAACAAACAAACCTACAAAAACAACACAACAAACAAACCAACGAACAATACAATACAAAAAGAAACACAAAAACACAAACCCGCCAAACTCGCCGGCGCTGCCCCGGAGTTCCGCGCGCGCACCGCGCAGTGGCTGAGGATGTCTGGTGCGGACTTGGCGTCTCGGACCAGCACCGCCTGGGGCGAGCCGTTGGAAGCCTCGAACCTCAGCCCTAGGGCTCCCCCCTACACCCAATACCCACTTTCAGGGAATGTCGGCCCACTAAAAAAGGAGGTATTTACCATGGAAACCCAGGTTGTTCAAAAAATAGCCTGGAAAAGGTGGGTATCTGGAGTAGGGGGAATGCTTGACTCAATTTGCTTGACAACAATCCTTAGGTAAACAATGGCGGTTATCTCAACCCCCCATGGTTTTCATGGTGGTTTGAACCCAAAGGGTCACTGCGTCGCCTTTTGGAAGACCCACCCTATCACCCTATGTTGGGACACGTGTTTGCCATGAGGCTGGTGGTTGCCTCTATTTCTGCCACTAAGGCGAAACCTCGCCTAACAAGGACCCCTCTCGGCCTGAATGGATAGAAGGGAACATGGCAGCGAGCGCAACAAAGAGCTGACGTCATGAACGGCATGATCAAGTCATCAAGCGCAACACTGCATGAGTGCATACCTTATAGGATTACTTCAAGACAGGCATTGGCCGTAAGCAAATCACAGTACTACTGACAGACTTTTTGATAGACCCTGTCAGTAACATGTTTAATCCAGTCATGCATGTTCACACATGATGCGTGACGCATACACATACACATACTAAGCTTGCAGCTGCAAATGGGAAAACGATGCAATGCTTTCCTCGCCTGCACGCCCACTGGAACTTCCTCCTCACCACTGACGAGGCCACTGAGCATAATTGTGGGCGTCTCGAAGATCTTGTCCTGCAAGAATCGGTAGCTGTAAGTGAGGGTGTGAATCTAAATTTGGGACCCTACTCTGGACATCATTTACATTGGGATTCGCCATCATGAGGTGGTTCCCCCGGCACAAAATCATAGCCTTCTGCAGTGGTTAGCGAGAGTGAAACGGGGTTGATGGCCTTTTCGTTGCAGTCTCACTGTCTGAATAGACAGATCATTGAGGCAAGGCCATTGGTTCCATTAAGTCCCTCATGCAGTAAGCATTCCACCCTTTCCGAAGCCTGGGGTGCAAAAGGAACACCACAAACCAACACTGGATTTACCTCCCGTTCAAACATCGCCCCACCCAAAAGGAATTTCATTTGAAAACGACCCCACATGCGACCTTTCAATATCACTCGAATCATCTTGGCCAACGATTCGGCTCCTGCATGTGGAGCATCCGCGGTACGGAGACCAACTCGCCCTGGACCTTGCGGCAATGAATCCATGTTTCAGGCGAGACCTTGGCAAGCCCCGCAAAGGAACCACTGGCAGCCTCATACACATGTCAGTCTAGGGCCGCTCTACAGGCTTACCATTTTCGTCTTTTCAGGCTGATGGTTCGGCACCTTAAGGGTTGTTTGGCTTCGGTTCAACAGCAAATGGGGTTTCAAACAACTCTCTAGTTTCTGAAAGTCACTTTTAACCCACCAACCAAACAGTTCAGCAAGGGTCAGGTAGCGCTTTCTGGGAGGAAATCTCAAGGTTGAGCCTCCAAAAGCCGTCGACTAACCCAGTGGATCCAAATACTATAGCTAGTAGGTGAGATGATGGTTTCTTCTGGTTGCTAAACAGGTTGGGTACAACACGCACATCCCATGTGGTTTCCTTTTTGCGAAATCAATTGTGTGCTGTTGCACCCGGATATGCTTGCTGAGTCACTGTTGCGAGAAGACGAGGCCGCGGCGGGGTGGTCGACAGCGGAGATCATCTGCCACGGCGGCAGCTGCCTCGATTCGAACATCGAGCTCCCGGAAGAGACACTCAAAGGCGGCGGCCTTGTCTTTGGTCAAAGAGACCCCCCAAAAGTGTCATGTGGCCATGGGTCAAAATCCAAATCGTACACCCAGTGAACATCCCAATCCCCACTAAAATCGGTGGTGCACCTACCCCAGAATGGTACTATTGGCTTTGACCCACAGCCATGTGTTGCCAGCTTTCCTAAAGTTGCAAGGTTCAAGAGCGTAAAAACCAACCAAAATCTGTGCGAGCTCCGCGAGAAAAACCGGCCAGCGCAATAAGATGTCAGAGATTTGTCAGCGATATTCGAGAAGGGAATGGGTGAGGGCGTTTTATTGCAGGGCAACCGGTCCAGAAGTCATTGTGTTGGGCCTCACCTGCTTTGGCATGCTTTGACCGCTTCGAATTGACCCATGAAACACCGGCCAAAGCGGTGCTCTTTTGAGCAATTTGTGGGTTCGGAGCGGCAGCCGGAAAGGGAAGAGTTCGGTTCAAAGGAAAGGATGCCCTGAACCACCCACTCAAAAGAAAGGTGCCAACAACATGGCAAACCCGTGGCTGATCCTGGAAAACGAGTGTATAAGCTAGAGTTTGGCAACAAAAACGTCCAACACTTGCAAACAGGCTTCGAGTTGACTAGCAGGCAACCTGCGTGGCTGTGCATCAGTTCAAAAACTCAAGTCCAACTGGCAAGACCCACATGTCAATTAAAGCAGCTTTACCGGACCCACAAAAGTCAACTCACTCAATGTGTAACCAGAAGAATGCATGGGCTTGGAAGAATTGATCCCCAGAACACAGCGGATCGTGTTTACCCAATTCAAGAAAGGTGCAGCGGAGGCATGTGCCCGCACCTAGCCGTGTTCAAACCGCAGTCCATGCTTCAGGTTCCGTGGACAACAACATGCGGGTGCCCAATGGAAGCTTACAGATCAAGGAAATGGCTCAAGCCACATGTCAATGCATTTCATCAATGGAGGTGCTCCCAGGAATTGTTCTCAACCCCGTTTGGGGGAAAACAAAGTACTCCCTAAATGCACGGAATGGGCCAAATGAGTTGTGAGTTCACGAGTCACAAGCCATGGGTGCTTTTGGAGTTAGGCGTGACGTTTTTTTTCCTGGGTGCCCATTCTTGCGTGTGGTTTTAAGGGGAAAAGATGAAAACACACACACAAGTCCACTTTGGGGGTGTCCGTAACAACACACCCCGGAGCTGGCCACCCCACCCGTTGGTTGGACATCGCCCTTTTCACTTTTGGGAACACACGCGGATGGGACCCACTCGACAGAGACGCGGCCAAAGGGCGCGATGCTCCGCAGCTGCGGCTCCAGGCGTTTCAGGATGAGGCCTCAGCGCAAAAGGAAAACCAACCTGCAAGGCTCGGCTCAAAGTTCTAGGGGTTGATGTCCCATTCTTTTCAGCCATCGTTCTTTTCAAGGTTGGTTTTCCAGAAAGGATCCCTGAAAAGAATGGGGAAGCTACCCCTAGAAAGTACCAAACTATGCAAAAGAAGAGAAACATACTGATAAGTAAGACTTATGTTGCTCCCTAAATGCCAAGCTTTGAATGCTAGCACAAATTGCTGTACTCTTTGGATGGGACTGGAATTAAGGAATTCCCTGGTATGACTGGCGGCACAGTTGGTTCAGGTGAGACACCCCCAAAGCGGGTCAATTTTGGCAATGGTGGCTAGTCATAGAGCCAGGAGAACCTAGCAAAATCCATAGGGATCCAGCTCAAGCCGTAGCGGTGTTGCTCCATCAAAGATCAGATTCGGCTTAAACGATCACCCCTAGAATTGGGAAATATGGTCAAATACTGACATTCGGTTCAAACGTGGTCTGGCACAAAGCCCTTGAATCCACCCCCTATGAACCATGCATAACTTACCACCTCTGCCTTACTGACGAGGAGCTCAGCGCAAAGAGCGCGCTCCCGCGAAGGACCTCAGGGGCACTCGGTGAGGCTGCCGGATATTCTGTGACAATTGGATTTGGCACTGAACTTCTTTGGCCAAGTAAACTGCTTGTATCGAAGCATATGCTCGTCATCTTCCGCCACCCAAACGTGCATTCACGCACCGAACGTGGATTGAGGTTGACATCGGGCAAACAAACGCAGAGTTAGTTTCTAGCGCGTACGGAAAGCAAACTTGAGTTGAGCAAGATAACAAACATGTGCGTCAAAAAATGACGAAATCGAAGCAGTCCCAACCTCATCCACGAAGACCTCGAGAACATTCCTGCGGGTCAGGTGTGTAAACTGCTTTCTTTCACAGTGGTGCTACGTCTGGTACTGTTTATTTCAGTATTCTGCTGGATTAGGGACTGCACTGAATGGGAACTTCCCATCCAAACATGTTGTATGATAAGTCTATCACAAACGTGTCCCTCTAGCTATCAGCCTCTTTCCTCGGCGTATCTTTCCGGAAGCGGTTCCAACCATCAATACAGCCTCTTCCTTCTCCAATCCATTCCCCGATGCAATAGCATACAATCGATATAATGGGACATGGGAGAAGCAAAAGCTCTCTCTATCATGTCCCTTCTCTTCCCCAACCAGGCAATCGCCAACGGAGGCCGGGGAGGGACATGTGATCCTGTACATGGGGGATCCATGTCCACCAAATACCCTCCCACCAACTAGCATGGATGTGCACAAACCCCCTTCCTCTTGGAAAGTCGTATTTCTACCAAACAAAAATGTGCGCTTCCGTGTTCGGGGTATTTGCCAAAGCGGTGGGGCTTCGGTCTGGGCTCGGCGCTTCTCCACTCCCACTGCTTGGCCCAAAGTGGTCGCCTGCGATGACTTACCACCCAAAGGCCACGGTCACAGATGAGACGCCAAGCAAATGCTTGGGCTAGCCATCCGTTGAAAAAACAAGGAGACATAGGCAGCACTAGGCAAATGCCTACAAACTGAAACTAGTGCCAGCTGTTTTCAACCAAACCGACCTAACATGACACCCATGGTGGTTGGCCTTTTCCACATTGACAACCTTGTGCCCAAATACAAGCCCCGTCATTGAATTCCCACAGTGCAAAAAGCAGGAGATCATCATCATCATCATCATCATCATCATCATCGTCATCGTCATCGTCATCGTCATCGTCATCGTCATCGTCATCATCAGCATCACCACCATCATCATCACCATCACCATCATCATCATCATCATCATCATCATCATCATCATCATCATCATCATCATCATCATCATCACCATCCCCGAGAGAAAATTCGCCACAACGTCAACATATGATGCACTAAGACAGAAAACCATCCCTTTTCTGGCATAGGTAAACTGGTAAACGAACCTTCATCAATTCGCAGCTTGTGCATCCAAGAACCCGACTCTAGCAGGGAGGGTTTGCCAACAATGTCGTGACGGCCGGTCAGAATGTGCGATCTTTTTGCGGTGTTCTCAGCAAACACTTGGATCTACGTGGATTCAACCCAATTGAGCAACATAGGTTGCATGTGGTATCTTCCAGGAAGCGCTTCCTGAAATTGGCAACCTCAAGACTTCCCTCAAACGGCCCAAAGACGGGGCCCCCAACTCTGGACACCTGAAGTAACTGGCAACTGCCAGGCTCGCAAAAAAGCGTCACCCAAACTTGGCTGCTGTTGACCCCTCTGCAAAAAGTTTAACATTTTGAGGCTTTAGTGGAAAACGCCTTGATTTCCCCCCAAAAAAGTCGAAAGATCCAACCCAATAGCAGTCACCCAAAGCTGAGACAGTAACACACCGAAGAGGCGCCTTGGGAGCTAGCAGAGTCTGGAACGTGTCCACCTGCTCGCCCACCTCAGGTAGCCGATCTCACTCGGAAATCGCCAAGGGATCTTGAACCTCGAAGGCCTGGTAATTAAGTGGAAACATGGACCAAAACCTGCGCAACCCCCCCTGCTTAATTTTGAGCCACACCCACATGCAAATCAACTCAAGAACAAATGCACACACACACACACACGCATACGTACACACGCCTTTGCGCATGCAAACCCAACCAGCAAATTACACACAAACACACAGGATCCAAATCCTCCAATGCAACGGAAAACACACACACACACATACAAACAAAACAAAGGAACACAACAAAAAACACGAAACATAACAAAAAAAGAAGTAAAAACACGAAAACAAAAGAAGAATCAGAAAAACGAAACAAATGGAAATAAACAAAGACAAACAAACAGAACAAAAAAGAAGAAGAAGCAAACAAACAACAAAACGAAGGCCCAGACTGACTGCCCCCCGACTCCAGCGCGCTGCGAAGCGGCCACGCGGGCCAGGCGGTCACAGAGGGCCTTCAGCATCAAGGCGCTCTCCGCGGGGCCGGCGCCGAACCTCGAGGTCAAAACCCCAACCGTAGCAGACATCCGATTCAATCCAACCACTAAAATAGGTGTGGGTGGTGAATTCACCTACCAACAAAGTAGTAACTACCGTTGGTTTTGAACCACAGCCAAATGGCTGTGGTCAAAACCCACAAAACCCCTGGTGAACATCAAAATAGGTGGTACAGGTTGGGAAGAAATGCACAAGAGAGTGCAATCTCTCCCGCATGTCAGAGGAAGCCTGATTCACAGCAATCTCAAGATTTCACAAAAGTTACATGGACTTGGCTGTGGTTGTGAAAACCCTCAAAACCCCTGCTGAACATCAAAATAGTGGTACATGCGTGTTCATCCGCCCCAAAATGGAGGCATAGGTTATGACCCATGGCCAAATGGGAAACACCGGGGGCAGCACACATCCACACCAAACCCCGCAACAATGGGAGAAATACATACAAGAATACAGCACATGGGAAAGCAAAGTACAAGAGACAAGGACCAAAGTGTTTGGGATTCAACTCCAAACCAAAAAAAAGGAACTTGTTTGCAAGCACACTGCCTGCTACCAGTGGAGTATTTGTTTTGTTTTGCGACCACATCACCCTTGCACCTGGGACGGTAGTAACCCGGAGAAATACGTACAAATACTGCCTCCCCCCCAAAAAGAAACGTGGGACAAGTACGTAGCAATACCTGAAGAAGCTCCAGTTGGTTGTGAAAACAGTTGTTGCCATAGGGACAACCTCAAACCTTGGTGGGGAAAGGAGGAAAAATAACACAAGGTTCACTCGAAACATTTTGGGGTCCCACTATCCCTTTTGATGACTGTTGCGAGGAACAAAAGGAAACTCTAGTACTGGTTTGGGGTGACTCGCACACGCACACACACACACACATAAACATAGAACTTGATCAGCCACCCACCCAACACACACACACACACAAACTCCACGCCCACACACACGCACACGCACACACACACACACACAGAGGCACACACACACACATACGCATACCAGGCGTGTGCTCTTTCTCCCCCGTCTATCAAACAAAGCATGTTATCAACATGGACTAGCTGTTCATGGAACATCTGACATGAACAAAAAATGAAAATGCAAGAACAAGGAATGGATCAACAGCATTGTCCTGTTGTTTTTTGAGTTTGGGGCAACATGTCAGCAAGCTCTGCAGCCAACTTTGCCTGATGGATTGTTGTCTGCGAAACGGTCTTTGATTTTAGATTCCACCGGCCAAAGCTGCCCTGACTGTTTGACCGAGGACAAGGCTACTGCCGGTAAGTATGGGCGTGGCATCAACTAAGTGTGCAACAACTCGACGGCGACATTGTCTGCAGGAGTACCACAACATATATCGATTTCCTGAAAAGGAAAACAAACGCTGCTTCTTCCAGAAGGTGTTGAACAGGATGTAACCACATAAATTGCTGGGGATGCACTTGCCTTCTTTTTTGCCCAGTTCTGTTCCGGTCAACGCATTTCTTCTGCGTTGCAAAAAAAACTTGTCGGCATACGCACTGAGCAAATCGCCGCTGTGCGGCTCTGAACAACCTGGCCTTTGAAGTAACGCGAGCAGAACATGTCCTATGCCGAAGACAGCTCCTTGACCTATGATTGCTTAGGCCAAAGCAAGCGTATACGTAGAGGTGGAATTGATGTTGCCGAGTGATCTAATATATTCTTTCCATGGTGGGTGTCATGCACAAAGAAGCTCTCCCATCTCCCGCATCACGTGCATGCCAAAGAAGCTTCAGGTTGGCACATTCCGGGGCAAGCTGAGTCCAGTCCTGAGCTGCAACCCGAAGGTTTGCTCCCAAAATGGCTTTGGTTTTCCCTCATGGACAAGTGATTCATTCTGTTTAGCCTGGAAAGGAGCAATCCCGGATGGAAACAACCAGCATGAACAGGAGACGGCATTTTGTTGCCTCACTGTGGATTTCCCAAGTGATTGGGCTGCCAGAAGCTTAGGATGAGGGGTGTGCGGCAGAGTGTGCAGGATGAAATAAGTATTTGGCAGGTATACCCATGCAAACACTCGCAGTATTAAAGCAAACCACACATGAGACGTCAACCGTGCCTCGTTCGTGCAATGTGCCTAACCTCAATCTTCCGCTGTGTTCCTTTTGCTTGTCGTTTCGACACCAAAACATGTGCTTCGGGGAAAAGGGCGCACTTGTCTGTGCCTCGGGGCACCTAGTGCATTTTCACTCTAACTTGTGAAGCAGCGGCTCTTGGCCAAGAAAGTAACTTTTCTCGACTAGATTTGAAGCATGTTGGACAAACGAACAAGCGGGGATACGGAGGGAGCGGGGGTATGGGGGGATTCCCTTGGCGCCATTCCATATCAAACTTCGTCAAGGTGCATTTAGGAGGAATCCTCCCGTATCCCTGGTTCCCCCTGTATCCCTGCTAGTTGGTTTCCCTGAGCAAGTAGAATTGGTACTGGACCAACACAGCTCTTTTAGGGCACAATCTGCCCGGCGTCCACCAGCAATGCTCGGAGCTCCCCGTGCAAAGGGATGTGCCTCGGAGTCGAGCGGCACTGCAGGCTTAAGCGTCTTAAGCGGCTTAAGCGTGTAGTAACCCAGGAGTCATAACCCACCTAGCGTGTGTCGCACTGCTAGCTCTTTGACTGTTTGGCTTCCTTCTCGCTGCGCGGCAGGACTGAGAATCATACCTTCCTTCTTGAAGGCTCCGAATCAGCATGCTTACCAAATCATGGTTGATTCTACCAAGCTCATGCTGCAAAAAAAACAGAGCGACTGCTTGAAGAGCTCCTAGGACGCTGTTTCGGGTTGGCTGCCCCTCATAACCGTGCTACAAGCGTTCACCCCGAGAGCCGAACAATGCCAGAAAAATGGCTTGCAACCAGTTTGGTCAATCTTGATAAGGGGTTTGTACTTTGACACCACAGCTTTCATACAGTGCCGGGTGGGGGGTCCAAACAGTGCCAATTGACAAATATCACGTCACTGAAGATCTATGTGGCTTAACGTTTCTTGTCACGTGTTAGAACTCATAAACGCCAAGCACAGTGTGCTCCCCGCAACAGATAAGCGCCGAGTTGGGAATAACTTGTGGAGCGCAGTGAAGTCTCTTTGCACCCCTTTCGCTAGTAAAGACCCCCAGGGGGTGAGAGCTTGGGCCCGGTTTTCCCACGAGAAACACAAAAAACCATGGAGCGTCTTGCCTAACACATGCTGCATGTGTGACCCAACTCTTTACTCCGTTTTGGCTTGCGCAAACACAACTTTGTTGTGAGCGATCTGATGCAATCCTCTTGTTTCTCGCGTCACGGACAGCTGATGCAATCACTCATCAAACCTCGACAGGAAGTATACTACTCTTGCCTACACGAGAAAGCACTAGTGAACACAACTTGTTGTTTAGCTGCGGGGTCCATGTTCTTGACCTTCACTCATACGCCACTGAACCTTCAATGAACCATGACAGCAAGGGCCCTTGGCGCCTGCAAAACACTCATCAGGGTGCTTCCCTTCCATTTCAGTCAAAGGTTACGATGCGGATGGCCTGAAGGCTTGGCCAGTGAATTTTTCTCAGGCCGTCCAGGGTTTTTGACCTACCTCTCTTGAGAAGCAAGCATGTCCCTTGCAGGACTTCCTGATCATTGACCTACAATGTTTTGGACGCGCACAATCATTTGGTCTCGCAGCTGGGTGGAAGGGGTCCTTGACTGATGTGTGCCCTTGAGCGATTAACGCTTGCATTGTTGGGTGGTTTTGACCGATGCGTTCCCTTGAGCGATGAATGATGTCAGGCTGAGAAATGAAGCCCCTTTGCCTCAAGTCTAAACGCCTCATCTTGTGCTCTTCGCGGACTAGTGCTTTCAACATGTTTGCATCACAATATCACAAACGCTCAAGTGCTTGAATTCACCAGTTGACCTACACGGCGTCGTCAGCCATAGGCGTCCTTTTTGGCTCTGACCAATAAGCAGAAAAGTAAATAGCAACAAACCAATGCTGCTATTGACCGAATTCGCTTCAAATCAAGATGGATTCCTCCAATCAAGTTTGTTAAAAAGGAGACTCCTCCAGAAACGAATTCGCTTCTCTGCTCCTCTTCCCATCAACTCCTGGCCCAATGGCAGGAGCAAAAAAGCCTTCCGAGGCCCCGGCCCCACCACGGAGGTCAGGAAGGCCTGGCGTTCGGCTTTGCCAAAATAGGGATACCCCCGGCTCGGAAGCTCAGGAAGCGTCGAAATCGGAGTATCAAACCTGCAAACTCTCAGAGCCACCCCTCAGGGACCCAGAAAAATGAATTTTAATGGTGATCACCTTTTGGGACCTTTTGTTTCTTTGGGTTACTTCACGACCAAAAGTGGGAAGCCAGAGGTCAGAAAAGGTCGACTCGCTTTGGGCCAGTGAGAACTCGAGAGCCCACACCCTGGGCTCACGGGCTCACGGGCGCACCTTCATCTGCTCGCAGAGGGTTGGGAGCCGCGTCTCGTCGGTGTTGCCCTGGCGTAGGTGAGATCGGTATGACCCATAAGGAACGGCCTCTGGCATGCTCATAGAATCTCAATCCAGCCGAGGTGCAATACATCGATTTTCATGTGTGCAACATGTATTATCTATATACATTTATATATATATATACATTAATATGTAGACACAATTATAATACGATGTTGCATCAGTGCTTCACACATTATTGGCATGCAATACCAACGCGGCAAAGCTCGTTTTGTTGAGAGGTGCTTGCTTGCACATTTAGCACGCCTTCCCCTGTAAGTCACAGTGCGGACAAGCTCGGCATGCTCACTCTGCAATGAGCCGGGACTGGTTCAACCGCGATTCCCGGCTCAACGGTTCAACGTGTTTGATGGAAGAAGTCCGTCGGGAAGCCCGGGTGGAGCTCTCTGCCTGGGCGATGACACTCTGCTGAGTCTCCAAAGAGTAGTCCAAGAGCAGAAGCTGCCGAATGACCTCAGCAGGTCAGCCCAGGCCGGGAAAAGCTCTCGGAACATAGGGTGCTACAGTCGGCCCCAGCGTTCGCTGTCTTGAGAACATAACAATGGGTCCCATTTGTTCTGGCGCAAGGAAGGTATGCCAAAAAGATAGGTCCCAGGGCACACATGCCAGGCTTCACTCCGCCAACCATTCGCTTCGATGACAGGCATCAGCCATATCTGGGGTCCCAATTTTTGGAAGTCTTTGGTCACTCTGCCTCTTGACCTTCTTGCTGGTGCTCGGTAGGGAATGATCCAGGGTTTCGGGAATGAAACCAGGGATTCGCTTACAGGAAACCATAGGGGATGGTTTATCAGCGTCATTCCATTTCTCATTCTCTACTGAGAACCTGCAAGTTATATCATGATGTTGCTGCCTGCCCTACACAACAGCAAGGCAATCAACTGCGCTGCGGTTTTTGGGGTCAGAACACTTGCAGCCATCTCAAGGAATAAGGGAAAAGGCGCAACCAGCTCTAAGGCTGCTGGGTTTTCAGAGCATGCAAATAAGACTAACTTCTTTTGCGACAACCACTTGGGCCAGACATCAAGAAACAAAGCAGCTGAGAATCCGTAGCCAACCCGGCGGGATGTGTGAATTCCCTCCATGTCCAGATCTACAATCTTCATCACCAATCAAGTGGCTTTCCCTGGCAACTCATACCAGCCAAATGGCTGTGGGTCAAAAATGGGTACCCAAAATGGAACCCTGGTAAATGGGACCCATGACTAAAACCTGCGGTCGCCTGGTGGTTTAATTTTCACCCACACCCAAATAGAGATCCACCTTAGACTTGGTTTTCAAACGGAGAGGTTTCAGCTCAAAATCGATCATGCGGCCATACCCAAAGCACGTGATCCCTTCGAGGCACTCCGACATCTGTCTTGGAGTCGTTCAGAATTCCCAGGATGCCTGAGGCCGAGTTCTGAGGGCTGGCTAGCGCATGTCCGAATGCAAGGCAAGAGGCGGCGAGAGGCGCGGGACGCGAAACGGCGGAGTGGGACCCGAAACGTTTGGAGTGGGACGCTTCAGGGTGAAATGGCATAGGTTCCGAGCTTGTGACAAGATTGCGAAACCATCACGAACAGTTGAGAGATTTTGATCCGCAACAAGGTCAGCGCGTAGGATGGACTTTACATCTCGACGCTTCCGCAACTGATCCTGCCCGCCCACTCAAAACAAACAAAAAAGAACTTGAACAAACACACACATGCAGAACAATCCAGCTCCATGTGAACCTCCTGCCAAAATGGAATGGCAGGCATGTTGGTCGCTGCTCCCTTTTCTCAGCTGCTGGCCTAATCGAGCCTCCGCGAGCTTCATGAATCTTTGGTGACCTCAAAGCATTCTGCACATCTTCAGCTGATTCATGATCAACACCCGGCACTAAAATGGTCTACCCAGAACCATGTAAAGAATTGAGAAGGCGGATATCTGCAGCTATTTGTGGTTGGGATTGTCCCTTACTAACCTTCATCTACCCGAATCGGTTTTGATTGTGAGTCAGCTGCTGAAAGAATTGGCCACACGGGTTTCGTCAGCCAAAAAACGTCCTGGTATATGTTCAAACGAACACCGAAGAAGGCCACGCCGAACGCCTCATCAAATACCCGCAAAAACCGGGGGTTTCGGCTAGCTTCCTGGAGAAAAAGCTTCCTAGATTCATCCACCCGGCCATCACACCTGGGCAAACTGTGGCACAAGAGTGCCCGTGCGGCCAGCCTAGTGCCTGTCCCCTTGCCAGCAGCGCATCAAACTTGTCTTTGTTGGGAAGGAATGGTCGTAAGCAACTTGTGCACACCAAAATATTATGCCTTCAGAATCTTCAGCGACATTCACCGACGTGTCACCACCAGCATATCTTCGCAAGCTGACGCCATATTCAGGTGCACCGGCCATAGCACATATTTAGCTCTAACAGTTCCAACCCTTGCGACCTCCAATGCTAATTCTGCCATCTAGGGCGGGCACTCTTTTCCTGAGAATCCTTGTCCAGGCTTCCAAGCGAGCGGGAACGCCTGCGCAGAGCCAGCATGTAAAGCGCAATCTTGAACGAAGCTGCAGGGGACAGGTCAAACCATGTGAGTGCGTGCACGATGAGTCATCCTGGTTCCCTTGACCCTTGTGATGCATGGCCAAAAAGATGAGCATTGGCTATGCTCATCCACTCAAGTACACGCAGTAGCACAAGCGGTGGCAATTATGCTGAAACATGCTGAAATCAAAGGAGTAAAACTCACGTTCACTTCACGACCAGAATCCCACATCCCTACTGTGGATGGACGAAATCCATTTCGCACCACCGGTCAGAAACCTTGAATGATGATTTCCTGTAAACACCAACCAATGGTTTCTCGGGGTTTCTCAGGTGCGAAATGGAAATCGTCCATCCACCGTAGCGTCGCCCTAAACCAATTGTGCCCAAGGCGCTTCATCTTGGCGTCGCTGCCCGAGATCTCCTGAAGGAACGGAGGTGTGAGGCGTCAAACGCCCCTTGCTCGTTGGCTTCAGGTAGAAAACTCCCAACAAATGGGTATGGCTCCAAAACCATTCGGGGACAGGTGTTGGTCCATGTTTCCACTTCCCCGGGTTCCATTTGGACTAATTTTTGACCCACGGCCAAATGGTGTCGGTTTGTTTTTCGACCCCAAAGCAATCCCAAGCGTTGGGGGCCTCCTCGAAAAGGCCCAGGGTAAACATCGGCCGGGCCTGGAGCTGATCCATGACCTGCTTGGGCAAGCAGCTCTTGGCTGCCTCGCATGTCGAAACGCGGGGCCCACCCAAGTGGGACGTCCTGTTGGCTAGCGGATTGAAAACAAAAAATCAGGTTCTCTCTACAAGTTTGGCACATGATCATGTCACAAAGGCTTTACACATTTAGTTTGCATAACTCAGTTGCAAGAGGCTGGGGTGCTGGCACAATGCAGAAGCAAACAATTTCTGCCAGGAATCGTTTCGAGGCTGTCTGAGCACACCAACACAAGCAAATGGAATCTACCAGCAGCCGAACCGCACGTACTATGCTGGGATGCGGTGTGCTTGATCCAACGACAACCGTCTGGCTGAGGGAATGATACTTCACTCGCACGCCTTGCGGCCTGACATGGTAACCTGTGCAACCATCCGAATCATGTGAGTCATAATCAAAACCCGGTATTAAAACGGTCTACCCAGAACCATGCAAAGAACTAAGAAGGCGGATATCCGCAGCTATTTATGGCTGGGATTGTCCCTTACTAACCTTCATCTACCCGGGTTTTGATTGTGGCTCATGTGTGTTCTCCACTTGCAGCATGCCAGCTATCCGCCAGGGCTGCACACCCATCTGGCTCGGCCCCCCTCTGTTTGAGGAATGCATGCCGAGCTGCATCGATGGCCGTTTTCAAGTCCAGGGCATCATGGACGCTTTGCAGGATCCTGGCAAGCGCAGTGGAAAGGAACACACAACCCTCTCTCTGTCTCCATGTGCATATATATATACATATGTATACTCACATGTGGACCCACTCTAGAACCAAATGCCCAATGCTGAGATACCTCCTTTCATTTAGTCAAAGGTGGTGCGCTTGAGAGCTGCTCTCCTTCCAAGAGCGACTACATACTAAGGATGGCGCAGCGCCGAATTGCTTGGATTTCCGCACAAACGCGTATTCTACAACTCGATATCTCTTTCAGCACCGCCTTCACCGTCTGCAAAAAGGTCGGGACGCAGTTGACAGGCCATATTACACAAGTCGATTTGTCACAGGGGGCTCAATCATTACCCTCTTCAAACCATAGAAGCCAGGAGCCGTTTGGAAAAAGATGCCCTCAACAAGACCCAACCCATCTTACAGGTTGTTGGAAGGGCCTGCACATGCGTCCAAAGTCTCTCTGTAGGATTTGGCTTTAAACATCTGGCAGGCCAAGTGGTAACTACGTAAGTTGCCCTGTGAGGTGATCTCTTTGGGGTGACATATGGCTGAAAATTTATGGCTGCATGTCAAAATTGGGATTTGGACTGGGCCCAAAATCAGCCAGTTGGCGTTCCTGTTGGTTTCCCTTTAAATCGACCTAAAAACAGGGATCCTTACATTTTACGAACATTGCCTTGTCAATGGTGGTTTCCCTTTACTTTAGTGGAAAAAGCCATGTTTCAAATGGTTGCAAAATGTACCTTTTGAGGGAGCCCTGAAAAAGACACCCTGAAAATACGACAATGTTTGGCTTCCGTACAAACCGACTTAACAAAGACACCCTGAAAATCGATCAAAATCCGAGGTCTCGTGCTTGAGCGCACGCCTCAGGTAGTTCTCGAACTCCATGATGAGCCGCCCAGCATCACCGTGCATGTACGGCTCCTGAATCAGCGCGGGTCTGCTCCAGTCTGAGAACGGAACGAACGTGGAAAGCTCTACCCAGAGGGTCCAAGTACCGCATGAGGACGGCTTTTGGGGGGTAAAAAGGGGTCTAAGTACCTCCTTAGAAGGTACCTGGGCTAGGGAATTGCTGTCAAATTTGCAACCCAACAACATACAGCCATTTCCGCAAGATTCAACAAAACACCAGTGCCAAATCTGTGTCTGTGGTAACTTCTCGCTTTCTTTCCCGGCTGACATGGCGGTGCACATCACCCCGCCGCCAGGCCAGCAACTACGAGAACAAGCAACAGCCAGTACAGCTAGCGAGTGCCAACTGCGACAACTCGTGTTTTCACAATTGATCGCAATCTGGTGATGCACCCACCTTGAAACACAATCTTTGCGGACAACTTGAGACAAGCTGCCCTATTCGGCTTAATGCTACCCAACCACTTTTGGCGAATACAACCATTATGACCAAGACGGCATGAGCAATGCCGTGGGCATGTTTCCTGCGACTCAACCTTTGCGCTGGGTGCCGGGCCCCAGAATTTTAGTCATGAAGGATCTGTATAAGCATGCCGAAACGCCGATGGCTTAAACATTGATCTTGAGGATTCCCTTTCAAGAGGCCATGGCCTGGTGGTTTAGGAGAAAACGGCGGAACCCTTAACATCCTGGGAACGTGTCAATCAATACACAAACTGACTCTGAAATGAAAGCATGCGTACACTCAACAAGCGATGCACAGCTACGTATATTATACGTACACTGTACATACGTGTGTATATATATATAATATATATAATGGGTCTGTCCTTTGTTACGGGTACCCTCTTTGGTTCCTTTTAAGGGGAACCAAGAGGAACACTTTAAGGGGAGCCAAGAGGAACACCTGTGGTTGTTGGCATTTTTTGCGGGGGGGGGGTCGTCAAAAAACACCGGGGTCCTTGGTGATGGATCGCTCGTAGGAGGCGAGCCGCTCCTTGGTGATGCCGTGGTCATGGAGCACCTGGCCGCTTTCATTGAAAAGGGCCCCGAGGAGTATAATTCTTATAATTACAAAAACAAAAGCAGAGAGCCTATTAAAGGTATTAAAACAGAGGGGACCAACCGGTACCCCATTTATTGAATTATCTATTTTCCAATTACAGTCATGAAAGGTATAGTATAATGACAACCCTAAACTCTAATCCCTAAATCCTACAGCATATCAATATGAAAGCTCGCAGGTAGAATGTCTTGGTGTCATCATCTTGGAAAAGAAAACACTACGAGTCCAAAGAGTATGCCTAGCTTATGCTCAGCAGCCACAGAACCTCGCGGAAACTTAAACGCCGTCGCTTTTGGAAGCAACGTGCATTCCCTTGCGTCGGGTTCCGTTTGGAGTCCCGTGCTTTTGCTCTCCTGAATTCCATTTTTTGGCTTCCTGGTTTCTATCACTCCGGGGCCGATGCGAGTTCATTCTGGTCCACGCCAGATGGCAACCTTCTGGAATTGGTTCAGTTTCTCGCGTCCGTTGGTTTTGTTTCGGGTGTCCTTTCTTTAGTTTATGTCTCCAAAAGCAACACGAAACCAACTATTATCTGAAGTGCCACCTCGTTCGATAAGCGCATTTCGCCGATTGGACCCTGACTTTAAGAAATGTTGTTGACATCTAGAAATGTAGCATCTTGTGTTTAAATGTGACATATTTGGACCATCTGAGCCATGTCCTAAACGTGTCATGATTTGCTATGTTGTATCATTCTGCTTACGCCACCAGCTTGCGCCACCTTACGCGTGTGGAGTTTTTTCTTACGCGACACATTTGGAGGTTTTGCTTACGCCCAGCTTCCGCCACCTTATGCGCGTGGAGTCTTTCCCTACGCGCTGGTCGATATGACACGACTCTTACTAAACATGTACACGGAGGTTTTGGACGCTGCTCATCTACATATCGGTATGTGATCCGCATACAAACGCTCGGCAAACCCAGGACTTGCTGAACATCAGGCAATCGAAACCAGCACGTCTGACGAATTTCCGTAATTAAGGTATAGCTTAGCAGCACATCAACAATCTGAGCAACTGATCAATCGTCGTGTCTATGCGCCAGCTGTATTGAAGCAAACGCTGAATACGCTGACACGAAGATGTTGACGGCCGGTGCGGTAAAGACAGCCCTCCTGGCCAAACCTCGGTTTATGGTAGAACAAGTTGGTGATGCCGATTTGTATTTCTGTTCGTCGCATTCGATGCTCCCTTGGCGCGGCGTGGAGTCTAGCATGCTGCAACGGTCTCAGAAAATATTGTTTTGAGGTGCACGCACCCGTATGCACCCGTGCTCACGACTTTGGCAAGCCGCGACTGCGAGAAGGTATGTTTTGAGAATGCGTAATGTTGAGCTATTAAACATGCGCGGTCATAGTTGGCTTCTACACAAAGCCTACCACCAGCCTGGCTGCGCTGTGCAAGGCATGGCATGCGCAACTGCAGCAGCGCGCGGGTGACCATAGGCTTCATTCACACATGCCGTCTCGCGACCGTTGACTATGCATGGAAACCGCCCGTCTGGCTAGTTGATTACGTTGAACATGAAAAACACACAGCACAACCTCCAATCACATGTTGAGAGAGCATACCGCACGAGGAAATATCACATCAGTTGGATAGCTTCATAACCCGCCCCTTGCGCTTGTTTCTAGGGGTTGATTCCTCATTCTTTTCAACCATCGTTCTTTCCAAAAACCGGATCCGTTTTTTCTGGGTTTCCGGAGGTTTTCTAGAAAGATTCGGATCCCTGGAAAGAATGGGGAGGGTACCCCTAGAATAGTTGGAGGGTGTCTCTTTTTACGGGACTTCTCCAAAGTGGGAATTTCCTTTTGGTTTCATCATGACCCGCCCCTGGCGCTTGGTTCTGCCCGTGCCGGCCTTCCAGTACTCCTCCATCTTCCCGCCCGTGCGCAGAAAGGCCAGCAGCGCCTGGCAGAACTCCCCACCCTGAGGTCAGAGTACGGTGGTCGTTTTCAGTGAAATGGCCATGGGGAAAAACCCAAATCGTACCCCGCAGTGAACATCCGATTCAATCTAACCACTAAAATAGGTCCTGAAATGGGTGGTGCACCGAAAATCCCCCAAAATGGGATCCCAAAACGGTTTTGACCCACAGCCAAATAGGAACGAAGATGTGTCGGGGACTAGATGTCCAAGTTCCTGATAGATGACAAATCTCCTGAAGCCCAAGCACTCAAGCCACTCCCACAAACTTGGGGTTTGTAGAGTGGTCTTCGTGATGGATTCTTGCAGCAAAATGGGTTATATCCCGCTTGTCCCTATATGGCACATAACTCTCGGGCAAAGAACTGAGGGTTCTCCTCAACCCTAGGCACGTTCATTGTACGCTCAAGAAGCTGCAGTGACAACAGAACCGCAAACAGCACCGCCGCCTCATTCTAGATTGTGTGGAACCTCAACGTAATGCCTGTCACCTCAACGTCATACCTCGACTTCTGAGCAGAATGGCTGCTTTCTGGCCTACAAACCGATGCCACACTGCCTGAATGCCTGAATGCCTCGGAATCTACATGTACCAAACGTGACGCCTTGCAAATGCCCACGTCGTCCGGGGTGGTATTGTTGTGCAGCTTCTGGTGCCACCTTCAGCCAGCCATATGCATGCTTCAACTAGAGACTAATCCAGTGTCCCCATCGGGCCAAGAGATCGGACATGTCAACGGTCTATCACCATCCCCCAGCAACATGCCGTGGACCAAACCCACCTCGCACCACTGGGTAGGTTTGTCCCAATATTTGCAGGGCATCCATAGGCAGGATTTGGTCAGTCACTACGACATACTCAGCAAACATCAAGATCTTGACCAAGGAATCGGAGATCTATCTCAGGCTCGGGCTCTTCATAGAAATGGCCCTTCGTCTCAGGGATCTTGTTCCGATGCCTCAGCACAAGTTCTTTTCTGGAGCAGGCGCATCCCTTTCGCACAGCACTCAGCTTTGATTGTGCCCTCAAAAGCTCCATGTGGATGGTGGCGGCTCCGAAATCCTGGAGATTGTTTGACCAAAGCTCAAGGATTGACAAGCAGTTGTTTTAGAAATATGCCGAAGCAGCAAAACTCGGTACCCCTGCCGGCGCACCCTTTTCAGGTGGGTTCAGAGGGAAGCCAAAGAGAAACCTCAACCATTTTGGGCGACCCTATTTTGACACGTACGCAAACACTTGCACACACAAACACACACTCAGGCTGAGGCATGATGTGCAAGATCTCGTCTCGGATTGCCTGGCCCTGATTGCCACCTGCCAAGTTGTTCGCCCGCTGGACTCAAGCGCTTGTCGGCGAAAAAACAGTGAGTGACAATACAACACGTGGCCAAACAGTACGGGTATGCAGTGCTGTGAACGATGGCGCTGACTAACTGTGCACGGCATTGCACGGAACAGAAAGAGACTGTCTGCACAAGCGTTCTGTTCATCAGCAATCAACTGGCCAATTGCTTCCAGTAATTCAGGTGCTCAATGCAGCTCAAATATCCAGCCAAACCATGCAGAGCGAATATCATCAAAGGGCCCTCACCAACTTGCCAATGAACCGCCGCTCTTGCTGCCTCTTCCAATGGTCGCGAGAGTCCAACGTGCCCACAGACGGATGTTCGGATACTCCTCAATATGCAAAGGTTGCCCGCTTAGAAGGCAACTGATCGCTGGCAAAGCTCCACCTAGATTCCCAATGCGTGCACACTTGACAATGTTGACACTCGTCAATAATCCAATTCTATATCCAACGATCAGATCTGGCAGCTAGCTTGCTCCACGTGGAAAAGGATGGCCCGCAACTTACTCAGCGTGAGTGCACTCAGTTGATGTTTATATAATCAGGGCGCCGATGTGTGTTCACCAATTTGAGAGGGTAGCCGCACTTCAACAACACGTCCAGTAAGTGACCTGCCATCTGTCCTTCCACACGCTGCAGATCTTGTTGGCCTGACAGGCAGTGGCAATTTCATCGGTGGGGATTTAGGCAGAAAGGCTTCATTCAAGCAGCTTTTGAAGCAGAACTGTGAGGGATCCCATCATTGTTATCACCACAGCGGAGACTGGAAAGGAGCAATCTGTGAAGTAAGAATCGGCTAGGTTCTCTCATTTTCGGTAAAACAACACGAACAATGTATCAACAGCATCAACATCATGGAGTCCAAACTGCATTCCCAACTTATGATCGCACCAAGCTCTGAGGTCAGTGCCAAAGAATCAGTGGCACCGGCAAGCTCTCGAGGCTTGGTGTTGTAGTTGCCTAAGCTTAGTCGCGTCACTTTCGGTCCTGATGTCGGCAGTACAAAGCATCAGCAAGCTTTCAGAACCTTTGGTTAGGGCGTAGCTGTCTGGTCTGAGTGAATGTCATCATACAACTGCACATGTCATGTGCATGCGTCTTGACAATGAGGTTGTTTCTTGGGCACAAGCTCCGTTCTCGCACTCCTCTTTCTAAATTCGGCTCAAGCTGCGTTGCCAGTCAAGCAGCCGCATGAAAGAGAACCTGAGAGGCTAGCTGCGAGTTGTGTCGCCTGTCTGAGGCAAACATCGGCAGGTTGCCAGGAACCACAGGCATTTGTTCGTCCTTTTGCGCGTTTGGTAGTTGGAAGTCAAAAAACAAAGGAGTCCATGGCCCCGAAAAGACGCTGGGAGATACCCAGTTGTTTTGCAGTCGCTATATCGCACGAAGCCTTGCAGTTGCCTGGCGCAATTGCATTGAAGCAAGCCGTACAAACTCTTTTCATGTAGCTAATCCAACAAACACAAACATCACCACTACCGCCTCGCGGGGGGCAGGGGGTCCCCCCCCGCCCCTACTTCATTTTTTGACCTCCCCCCCCATATTCCATTTTCGAGGGGTCACGACAAACATCACACACGACAAACATCACACAAGACAAACGCTGCAGCCTAAGCTAGTAAAAAAGGAGCTGTTAAAAGAGACGCAAAGAAGCACTTCAAGATCTCTCATCGTTTCGATTCGTTTCGTGTATTTGAGCATATCCAAACACTACCAACAATGACTTGCGATGTTTGGAATACAATTCTTTGTTTGTAACAACAACAGAAGATGGCAACATATTAGAAACGCGGTTCTTGCTTTACAATAGGCGAGACATGTCCGGTGACTACGTGTGTCGTTGGATGAGTCGGCGTTGCGCCAAGGATCCGTTGCCAAACGAAGATCCAGCTCCAAAGCTCATCATCCTGCTCCTCGGCTGATAGCCGGCTTGGCGTCTCAAAAGGTGGAGGGGGGGGGGGAGAATCCGCCAACATGGGTGGTTCCTTTGGGTGTCCCGTTAACCTGTCCCCCCCCCCCCAAAAAAAAAAAAAAGAGACACAAAGGCCCTTGAAGTGGTTGCATTGCAAGGGATTCTCAATATGACGTTGGGGGTGCGGAACCGCTTCAATCCATGGTTTAGAGGGTAATCTTGAGGATGTCGCGCGAAGGGATGCAGTGTCAGGCCCGCTATCTGGTGAAAAGCAATCTTCCAACCCAGCTGTTTGTTAAACATGGTTAGCAGAACATGAGAACGTTGGCCTTGAATGTCATGAGCGAGACAGCTCGCGACAAACGACATAATGATAGGTGTTTGACTTTCTTCCGGAGGCTGAAATCCACACCTTTCTACATGACCTTGCACCGCTGCAACACCAACATGAACTTGCCAGGCAAGGAGGACCTTCTAAAGCCATTTCTGCCGGGCTGATACAAACGAAGCTCAGTCAAGTCATTGACAAATCGAACTGGATGCACAATTCCAGATTTGGCCACCCAGCTGTGCCTTCTTTGAGTTGCTCCTGCCTTCCACCTCGTGTCATCACAATGTACAGTATGTTTTGGTACAGGGTTGCAGGGTTGTGTACCACAATCGAACTACTGGCACGCTTTAGGACACCAAGAGAGAGCGAGAGAGAGAGAGAGAGAGACAGAGAGAGATGCTCCGATTCCCCAGTCTGCACACGCATGCAAAGCATTTAGCTGTAACACGAGCTTCCAGGCACAACGGATCAAACGATTGTTGCTTTTCGACTAGCAGTGCTCCTCGGATTTCTCCTCCTCCGGGTCAATCAGAAGGGAGGCTGATGGTAGCCTGTCAGACACCATGAGTCAAACTCTGCAACCAAGGACATCATCGCACTTGCACTGCGCCTTGACCAGGAAGCACGCCGCAGCGCGTCTTTGTTGAAGGTGGCTGACCACGAGGGCATGCGCCTTGCCGCAAACATGGCGAACACACACGAGGAAAGCAACCCCCCCCCGATCACAGCCCAGGTGAAGCGTCGTGCACGATCGACACTGAGTTCCAATCGATGACAGCCACTGCCGCTACGCAACTCTAGTCTTGTGCCGACCCTCTCAAGACTATGTTCTTCAGTCACTTCTCTCGGATGGTCTACCCCACCCATGTAAATCACGAGAGTGGCTTCTTGTTTTGAGGATCCGATCGCCGTCTTCGAGGCACGTGCCTCATAGCTGCCTCTCCAGTGTTGCTTCGGCTGGACCAGGTTTGAATCATGTCACGACCTGACACATGAACCACGCCTCACGTGTGGCGCAACGCAGGACAAACCGCAGGCTGTCAGGCTGTTTTCGAAGAGTAAAATAAGACCCAAATCCTGGAAAATGGGCACGGAAAACTGGGAGCGCCCCAGAATGGTCTTGGAATAACGACAATATTGCAGGGCTGAATATTACAATCAGCTCACCAGAATCCCAGCCCTGGTTCGGCATCCATACTTTCTGCTCTGTGGACTAAGTGCAGGAACATGCATGAGGGTTTTCGTCACCTGTCAACCAATGTGATCTTTTGAGCGCCACTGTGAGGCTCCGTGTTCATGGGCGCAAGGGTTCCTGATTGTTCCTGTTTGGTCCAGTTGAGCCTGGTCAAGATCGCCGTTGGCCCTGTGAACATGAAAAAGGGACACTCGCCTTTCATGGGCCACAAAGGTGATGTTTAAAACCACCAAAAAGGGAAATATATGCCCCTCTAAAAACCTAGGTGTCTCTGCCCCTCCCCGCCGCCTGGTATGGCAAACACAAATAGCAAGTTTGTGGCGTGGGCCGCACGAGCCCTCATCTGGTCCGCAGCCAATTCGATCTAGCTGCAATTTGGCCATGGGTCAAAATCCCGTACCAGTGAACATCCCAATCCCCACTAAAATAGGTTCTAAAATGGGTGGTGAATTCACCTACCCCAAAATGGGATCCCATTGGTTTTGACCCACAGCCATTTAATGTCCGCCGAGATGCAATTGTTGTATCTGTGCATGAGGGTCATGTGGCCCCATTTGGTCTCCGACTCGATGATAAAGTTCACCTTCGGAGTAGCTCCAGCAGCGGTTCATTGAGTCAAACATCAGCTGATGGATACACCCGCCGTAATGGAAACTTCGTACTTTATTGGGTTGTCCCTTCGGCCCCCAAATGACCATGGGTAACTTTTCCCATTGAGTGGTTGAAGTGTTATCGTTTTGGTGATTTTCCCCAATGGTTATCCCATGCAAAGAACATGCTGATCAACCCCCATTTGCCTGTTGCCTCACATCAATTATTGACAGGGCTCAGAGAGGCTTCTCATCGATCAGAGACGCACATGGCTATTTGTCACAACTGCCGCACCAAACTGGCTGGTTGCATGCTGATCGCCATTTCAATCAGATCGAAACAAGGCTCATGGCTGTGGGTCAAATATAGGAACCCAAAATGGCAAATGCAACCAAGGACAACAACTTGTGGTCTGGTGGTGTAATTTTGATCCATACCAACATTGACACAACAAGAAAATATAATGGCCATGGGTCAAAATCCAAATCGTACCCCCAGTGAACATCCCGATCCCCCACTAAAATAGGTTCTTAAATGGGTGGTGAATTCACCTACCAACCAAAATGGGCTCCCAAAACGGTTTTGACAACCACAGCCAAATGTGGGCGCCTGCTCTTGCCATCCACCCTTCCATCCTTGCTTGGCCGGGGGATCCCGGAAGAAGGCCACACAGTCCTTCCCATCCTCGCACTTCAGCCACTTGTCCTGCGGCTGAAACTGAGCCATAATCCAACCCCGGTACAAAAATGGTCATAATCAATCATGTAAAGAACTAAGAAGGCAGATATCCGCAGCTATGTATGGCAAGGGGATCGTCCCTTACTAACCTTCACTTACCCAGGTTTTGCTTGTGACTCAACTGGCTGCAACTTGTCTAGGTCCTCCAGTAGAGAGGTTGGAATAAGGGTACCGTTTCTTTTTGCTGTAGTTTATTTTAGTAGGGGAACGCTCCCCAAAAAAAAGGGTACAAGTCAAGGGCACTACTGGGAGACCTAGCTGTGGGGTTGATTGATCCGAATGGTGACCCTTGAACACCCGTGCAAGCGGCACATGATACCTAGTTCCATCGGCCCCGATTGTTGGCAACGCCGTGTTTTGCTCTTCTACAACCAGTTGTGAATGGTCGAACAAGGCTTGATCAATATCGCTATTGCTTTTCAAAGAAACCGGCCGTTGGCAGGGAGACGCTTCTACAGAAGCACTCACTGTAGCATTTCAGCGGAACATGCTGGAAAAGGCAACATGGTTCCTTGTCATCCCTGTCATGGGATGCTTGACCAGCCTGTCTTGATCTTAAACAACAGCTTCTGTGAAATGTATCGCGTACATTCCAAGGCGCAGGGCCATACTATTTGAACCGAGCCTTCGCATGAGGACAACTCATCTGCTGCTCTGAGCAATCGACGCCTTATTGATGCACATATTCATACAATTCCCCCCCAAACAAAACAACAATACCCACACCCTCCAACAATGGCAGCTGACGGGAAGGTGCGCAAAAGCTCAGAGATCAGAGGGCGTCAACGGCTGCTTGGCATTGCCCCTACCGCCTCTCCTTCTCCGGCACCCGGATGACAAAGGCCATGCCCGGGATCGCCGGAACGCAGGCGCCATCGGACATGGTGGACCTGAGTTCACAGATCCTTCCGGACGGTTGAGCCGTCAACCCGCGGTTGGTAAGTGCTGGAAAGTTCGAGAAACGTCAAGTAAGTACGTAGGTTATACGGGTTATAACCATGGTAATAACTTGGGTAACTGGGGACTGGTCATTCCCTACAGACGAAATTTGTGGAACATGCAAGTAGCCTCCTGCCGAAGGTGCTGAAACGCAAAGGATTGTCACAATCGTCACATGTGCGCACGTCCAAGGGAGTTGGTTTTGGGTAAGCCGTGAACTAAGACTAAGATACTGAATTTCACATCCCAGCAACACCTACCTTGCTGGAATATCTCAGAAGCAAATAAAAGTGACATGAATCGGGACTGGTCGGCTGAGCAAGGCTTGACGCAGGCAAACTTTTTCGCATGTCTGCGAACCTGGATCTAAGCATCATCTTCTCTCATACACTTCCATTTGCTTAGGTCCCCTGGAAAAATAACATATTTCCACTAGTGATAGATTCCCTTTAAACCCAACAGGTGAAAATAGATTAGCTCAGGTGATATCCCCAACAGCATGCGGTGCTCTTTTTAGTGCTTGCACCACCCCGCAGCCCTCGCAGAACCTCGCGGAACCCTCGTGGAACACTGGTGGAACCCTGGTGGAACCCTCGTGGAACCTTACCTCAGGGCCGCTCCGGACCATCTGGGCTGAGACCCCAAAGCTTTCAGCTGTTGGGGAAAAATACTCTTAAGCAAAGGGAAGTACATGTCTGGCACTCCGACGGACATGCCATTTTGCGTCCGGCGACCTATTTGATGGCCTGGGCCTCCGCACGTGGGCAGCGAGATGTCCAGGCGCAATATGCCGTCGTCCAGTTCGAAAGGAGTCTGGCAGGCCTCAACGAATCTCCGGGTTCGATGTCCGGGTATGTCTTGGATGTTCAACCAACGTCAGGTCAGTAGGTTGTAACCATCGCTGTAACTTGGGTAACTGGGGTTGTCCCCCTACATCATGGCTATAACCTACTTTCCAAGTTGGTACATCCAAGCAACTGACCTGCGGTCTGGGGATGTCTGGCGATGTCTGGGGATGTCTGGGGATGTCTGGGAATGTCTGGGGATGTCTGGGGATGTCTGGGCATGTCTGGGGATGTCTGGGGATGTCTGGGGATGTCTGGATTTGGTTGTGCAAAACCAGGAGGAATGTTACCATTTGCAGAGACGTCGAAGTTCCAAGACGGAGCCTGGTTCAAATTCCAAGTCGCTCCAACACAACTACAATCTCACAAGGTTGTGGGTTCAACTAGCACTTGTTTCGGAAAACACATACACATTGTGGGTATTCACATATATAACTGTTTAAACTGAATCCCTGCCATGTCCTAGTTCATGTCCAGTCTCCTTTTGCAACCCGGTTCAGAAAGCGTTCCATTTCGAGACATGACTGTGCATGTCAACAAGCTTGCCACTGTTCATTTGGGTGCTACTCGGCGGCTTTTGCCCCCCTCCCGCACTCATGCATTGATGAACATGAAGCCCAACGGCAGATACTTTCGGCATCTTTCAGCACTCAAGATACTTGGACTCCTGACGAACTATGAATGCAGCGCAGCATGTTGGTTCATTAAATGTCCTGGAACTTGTCCCACAGACCCCTTTTTGCAGGGTCAACCTTAAGGCTGGGAACGACGCATCTCCAACCAGGCATGTAGAAAAACAGAGGACTGTGACTCTGTGAATACAGCTGCGTAAGTATTTGGAGTGTGCGGTGGAGCGTCCCAACTGATCCCTACATACATGAGCACGCGCCGTTCTGCACTTGATCTGCAGTAGGGAGACACCAAACATGCTGATGTTCTTTTGTTACCTTTAAACCAGCATGACAGGGGTACCCTCAACCACAACACACACACACACACACACCCATGTGCTTGCGAGAAACATAGCGAGGATGTGAGTGCAGCTGACGATATTGACCGAAAAGTGGCAACTCCCAGTCCACTTCCCGGCTATTCCCGGAAGCGACGGAAGAACTTCGTTGGCAAGAAAAATGACTGCCATCCAAGCGCCCCTCTTTTTGTTTGGCCAATGGATCGAAGCACCAAGCGCCAGAAAGCAGGTTTCTTTCTGCGTCTAACTTAACATATTGCTGCCATGAAGGCCTTACTTCCTGTCGCAGACCTTCACCCGTGGGTTAGAGGATCCCAAGAATTCGCCGCCAGTTCTATTTCAACCTATCCGTGCAGTTGCCGGTTGGGCAAAGAGGGGAGGTGAGCCCAGGAAGAAACCGATCCAACAGCGCGAGGCTACGTATAGGGAATCTGACTCACTCAAGCAACAATCACTGAATTGCTCCAACCACTAAGCTATGCATCATTTCCTGCAGGTGAAACGCAGGCCTGCATTTAAGCGACCGAAGCAAAGTTGGCGCCTTGGCATCCATGATTTTGCTCCCGTCCGGCAAGCACTCCTGAGGCGCAAGCTTGAATCGGATCCAGCATGTCTATGGAGCATAACGAGAAGTTGCCACTGGTCAGCGGCTAGCAATCAAGACGTTGCTTGTGTATATATGAATAGGGTTATAGTGGGATCCATTAAAGACTCGCTTCGCTTGCACCAACATTGATGAGCAAACAATCAAGCCAAAGCTGCATTGCTAAAGATTACCTGCTTCTTCGCAAGTTGGAAACTAATCTTGGCGCGACTTCGAATGTGCACCTAAAGCCATTTCCAATGACCCCGACATGTTGACTGGAAGATGTAGAGCACAAATTGCCTCTTTGAGTTTTGCATTTCTGTCCATTGCATTGACATGTGGCCGTGACAAAACCCACATACTGTGGATGGACGAAATCCTGCACCACTTTGAAAACATGGGAAACCATTCTTTGTTGGTATTTACAGGGGAGTCATCATTCCAGGGTTTCTTAGGTGGTGCAGGATTTTGTCCATCCGCAGTACTTCGCTTGTTTTGCAGCAGCCGGCACCTCCGGAGGGCAGTGCCAGTGTCGGTCACGGAAGTCGTTCAAGACGCCCCAGTGCAGCAAAGCAGAGCTCCCAGCCTGAAATCAAATAAATGTCATGCGTCAAATCTAGCCTATGGGATTTCGTGACGGGAACAAGTCAATATGGCGCCTTGCCACAAAAATACAAAACCGCCCTGTCAGTTCGGTTGCTTTAAAGCCATCCCAGTTCTGACTCATGCCTCCAGGCAAGGTTTCAGAGGAATTGGAAGCATAGAGTGCATCCCTTTCTTCTTGGTACCCCATCCTGTACTGCAAACAAGAATGTCCAAAGGCAGGCAGAAGTGCTGGTGAAACCCGAAGCCAGTTCGACGCACCATCTGCATAAGCATCCGAATCCTGTCACCTGAGTCACCCAACGGCACTGGCCGAATGTACCTGCCATTTTTCTTTACGAGCGACGTAGCCTAGATCCATTCAACTGCAAGCCAAGCGCCTTGTCCGGATGCAGGAAGCCGGTAATTTGCACCACGAAGCCGTCGCCCGCTCGACGACAGGCGACGTCCACGTCTCCTGCCTCGGAGTTCAAAGGGCTTACGCAGATATGGAGGTTGATCAAAGGTCCCTGATACATGGGATGAACATTGGTTGGCAAACCACAAAGATGATCTTTGCATGGGAAACGTTACCCATGGTCATTTGGGGGCTGAACGGAATATCGATCAGCCCCCATATCCAGCTGGAAGGAACAGAGGTGAAATATATTCAACACCATACGCGGAAAGTGAGGGGTTGGTGAAAAGAAATAGAGGTCCATATCTGCACGCCCCGCGCAAACGCGAAAGTTGGGGCTCAGGCAAGCAAATCCTTGTCCAGCAATCTTCAACATGATAAGAAAGCTTGGGATTCTTCTGGCCTCATGATCTTAGTCACTGTCAATTTGGCCCGCGAGGGTATTGAGCCATGTCCCTCAGCGCGGTCTCAGGCCACTTTTGGCTAGGTTGATCTGTGAGTTGTTACACCTCTGACTGACCATCCGGCTTAGCATCAAAGCCACGAAGATGATGCTGCGTAAGTGGTTTATCCATCGTCTATCCAACATTCAACAGTTGAATCATCCACTGTGTGCTTCGCTCTGGCGGGTCACATCAAGCCCAATGACGTGAGTGCCTCATCCAACTGCTCGCGCCACTTGGCGTGGGCCATTTGGCAGATGCGCTACGAACTCCATGACACATGCATGATTGTCATGATGGCACGGCAACCGGTTGCCACCAGTTGGCATGGGTCGCAAAAACATGTGTTTGATATGTTTTGTCTCAAAATGCACGTTGTTCATGTACATCGCCGGTCTTGGCAAAATATGTCCAATGATTAGATTCAACTGCAGCGTCAGCGCCGACGTTCTCCGCCTGCTCTGACAAGGTGATACTTTGGAAGTGGATCTTGCCGGACTGCTTTCGCTCCTCACGCCGCAGTACAAAGCACGCTTGCCCAAAGGGTCCTGATGGAATTTGGGGCCTCAAACTACACCGTTTGACACCCCTAAAGCAACTCGGGGTGTGGCACGGGGTTCTGCATACCAAGCCCCAGGACCCTAAGGTTGGTGTTGATGCGGTGCTGAAGTGACATGTGACTTACCTCCGTTCGCAGCGGTAGGGGTACTTCCTCGTTTACAATCCAAAGATGATGACCCTGGCTCACACGACTTGCTCCTTGAGCTATACCTTCGAAGGCTGGTTCTGTGGCTCTTCAAATGTGACCCCTCTTACTTTCAATGCACGGCACAGGTCGCATAGCAAGCTTTGCATTTCGTAATGGAGACTCCAGGGCTTAGCTCCACCAAACACCACCCCTAAGCATCAAAAGGGACCCTCCATCGAACAAATTGAAGGGGGAAAGGCCTTCCAATGTTTTGGGCAGCAAACAGGTGCTTTTTTGAGGGCCCAACATGCTTCGGGCAGCTGGCCTTCAGTTGCCAGGCACAAAACCCCGGAACGTAAGACAGGCACGCGGATGCATGCGGCCCAAAAACTGGGATTATGTAGGCCCGCCCTACAAAGAAATGAACTCTAGCACTTGTTTGGGCACAAGCATTGATGGATGTTGCCATCGAAATGCCTTTGAAAGTAGGTGTGGGGTTCTCTGCAAAAGAGGTGTGGACAAAAAACATGCCTGGGCTATCTCTGCACTAGAGTAAGTTCGTCCCAGTCGCCAAGTGACGCTGGTAGAAAAAGGCAACCCTGCCAAACAAAAAGGGTGCCAGGCAACAGCTGGGTAGTGCATTCGCAAAGGTCCTGATCCTTGGCACTGCAACATGTCCGGCCGAACAAACGATGGAGAGTTGCCCTATGATTCATGGACAGTCGCTAGCAACCGGCTGCTCTTGAAGCGCCATCGTGCCTTGCTTCAAGCAACACGCATTCTCGTTCAGTCGCAGTGAGCCTTCAATCCAGGCAAGTTGCCTTGCCGGCAAGGCCGGCCCCAGCCCAACCATGACGTGACACACTCCGATCGGCCCGCTCCGGTCGGCTCTGACGGAATTGCTGAAGCTGTTGGTCGAAGTTGCTCGCCATCTTTTGCGCCTTCTGCTTGACCTGACAGCTTTGGTATCTGGTAGGCGTCAAACCATGGACCCCTGTTGGGACCCCATTTAAAGGCGGGCCCCACACAAACCATGGCCCAAAAAGGGTACCCATTTTTGAGAGCTCATGCTAGACTGCTCTCGGTGGGCTACGGACCTCCAATGGAAGGATTTTCTCCCCGGTCGCCTGACTTTCTTTAACAGGCACCTCCTTTAAGCTTCTATGTCTCGAAGGGAAGTCATGGCAGACTGGTCATCATGACATCCATTCTCAGAGCTTACACACAGCCACTTTCAATCGGGCTCTGCCCAGTTTTTTTCACACACACACACACACTGCATGCTGTCAATAATTGTCGTTGAAAAAAAAACCTCGTGTGTGCACATCTCTCTTTGAGTGCAAGGGCGTCACGTCTGAATCAGCATGGCCTATGTATACAGGCCCTCGCACGCATCCACACGCGTGATAGCATATTGCTCGCACATGACGAACAATACTATATGAGCTGAAAGGGACAAAGTAGTAAGCGAGTCCCGAGGCCGTGGTTGTCATGGCAAAGTGTCGTTCCCCAATTCCCTCTCACGCGGACCATCGACTAGACGCGTTGTTGACCAAACCCCAAAGGATTAAGCGCCATGTTTTATCCCCATGGTGCGGTCTGCTGATTTCCATGAGGGTCGCGCAGGGTGCACAGACAAGTTATAGAAGGTCTCCAATGTTGCAATATCGGTGCAAGCGCTGGCAAGATACACCCAGAGCAAGGGGTCCTCATTATGCGAGAGCCGATAAAGCCCTGACCAAAAAGCTCTACATGCATTATGCATGTTTTACATACACGATGAACAAACATATTTTGTCCAGCCTGATTTGGAAAGCTGAGACGGGGAAATTTAGATCACCTGCCACAACTGAGAGCAATGAAGTCGCTCAGTATTCAAACAGAATCTGACGACATTCCAAGTGACGAGAAACTTTGAGCTGAACTCCTGTTTTAATTGCCCGATTTGTTGAAGTGCAGCCTCACTGTTGCGCTTTTGTTGCAACAAGTTTTTTTTGGTCACTCACGCATGCTTGTGGCCGTTTGAACGAAGGAACTTCTTTTGGGTTTCGATTGCGACATCGTGTTTGGCCCTCTGAAAGCCCTCCCTGGCCTCCTCCTTCTTGGCCTGCGCCTTGGCTTCTTTCTCCGCTTCCTTCGATAGCCGCGCCTGGCCGGTGAGGCGCAGCCTCCGGGCTTCATAACTACCTGGGGACCCCTTTGGAGGCGACAGTCGGCGCCCATGGTCAAACACAAAACGGGGAAGATGGTAGCAGCGGAGGTCAAAAACATAAGGACAACTAACAAAGCGCAAAGGGACAATCAGCATGAGGGCATTTAATCCGACCGGGCAACTCATCCAAGCGAGTCAAGTGTGCCATCCGTCCTCATCATGTTCATTCAACACACAATACCAAAGCAACTACAGTTTGGATGGGCCGCTTTCTCTGTCAGCCGGCTAGCGCCAAAGCTCATCCAATATCCACAGCATAGTGAAGCTAAACGGTACAATTGCCCCGCTTGCGTGTGCTAACCCCCTGCAAATGCTATTGGCTCTGGGCTCCAGCAGTCATGACTCCTGTCCAATGCCACTTTCAAGCGCCAGTGGCACCACATGTAGCATGACTCCATGACATGAGCGGGCCTGAATTGGCAGCCCTTGAAATGATCGACTTGTGTAACGGCACCAGCCCCAGAACTTCAATTGCCTGCACTAGAGACTCATCCTCTGGCAACCAGAGCTTGAAGTCGTCCGCGCCGTCCTGCTCATACGTGGGGCACAAGGGAATGGGCAGCCATACGTTGCCCTCTATAAAGGTAGTGATGTGATCTATGGCTGGAGGCACACAAGTCGCCATTTGCGAGCAGTTGCTTTCCGGCAAGCATTCCTTGGCAAGCAAAAGTCAAAAGGATTCTTTGGATGCCCATGGGTCAAACAATGGAGTTCAACATTGGTATCAGAATTGATGGCGAGGAACATTGTTCGAGTACCAGGGTCGGTCACCATTATATTTAGTGGGAACTCAGATCATTTCGTCTCCACTAACGTCTCCACTAACCAACTCATTTGGGCTCCTATTGAACAACGATGACTGGACCCCGCATGCCCACGGTACAAGGGATTCCCGCCTGGGATTCGGGGGAGACTCCGGGCGTTGACGCAAAGGTCAAGGATAGGCTGTAGCAACAATTGCCCACGTGCCATTCGGTTGGCTCCGGTGTAATTTGGTTGACTTTGCAAGGGGGGCAAACATTTAATTTTTAGCAGTTAAGTGGGGATTTCCCACTAAACGCACAACAAGCAAAAATGTAAAATGATTCCCAACAACAATCACGGTAACGATATTCCCTGATTCTCTTGCAGGACAATCAGCCAAGCACGCCCGCAGCAGTCCCTGTCCTTCACCCACGTGTTGCCTGGGAACTTCAGAACAAACATGAACTTCTTGGTCACCTCCTCCTGGCGCTTTCAAACGCGCGGTGAGCGAAATTCTCGGCCAGGCTGCTGGCCCGGGGACAGCCGCAAGATTTGCGAGTACAGCTCAAGCAGAAAGACGAATCAAGATGCCCTCAATCAAGGCAAATTAATAGGCAAACATGACAGAATCGGTAGCTCGCATTGCACTGCCGGCAAAAAATAACCTCATCATGTATCACGATTGCATAATACAGGAAGGGGGCAAGAGGAACTTTTTCAGGTATTGAAATGCAACGCAGTGTGCATCGCATGACATTACATGCAATGTCAGCCGCAATGACGCTACTGCAACTGCTCAAACCATGTGTCTTCGCAAGGTGGTACTATGTGTGCAATCCTAGGATCTGTCAATAGTGGCAATAGCATGGGTCCGAGCAACTTAAACATGAACATTCTGAGTGTGGGAACTCTTAACGTTGCGTCGCGTGTTGTTTGTTGCTTCGCAGGGTTTCTTTCATGGGACCTCCTGGCAGCCCCAGGGAAGCAAGGCGGACAAAAGCTCCCGTGCAGTACTCAGTGGCGGGAGGTCCAAGAAATCTTTATTAAAACGCGGCGAAAGGAAGTCACACACATACACAACAAGCTTTCAACATTGTGTTTGATGTCACACACCCATCTGATTTCCTGATTTCCTGCCCTCCATGTCCCTAGCTGAATTCCAAACAAAGGTCTCACGCAAGCGCGCGCGCACTCCGCGACGGCACGCGACTCTGCCGGGACGGTCCGGCTTCAGCTTCACCACGATCTCTTTGACCCCATCCTCCGGAGCGCTCCGGAAGTTCTCCGATCTCGCGAAGACCCACCTCGCCAGGACCAAACATGAGATAGGGAGCCGCATGTCAACAGCATCTCTTGATCTTAGCATCGAACGCTGGTACACCACTGATAGGACCAAACAACCTCGCTGGTACACTCCCTCAGACTAACATGGAAGCTCTCAGGCCTCTGTGAATGAATTAAATGGGACCAAGTCTTCCAAAGGGGTCCGTTCGGGAGCTTCAATGGTCTGGGGGAGGGTAGGAGCAAACATGAGATAGTGAGCTGCCCCATGTAAATAGCATCTCTTGATCGTGGCATCGAACATGACATTCCCTGGCCCTAGGCTCGATGATGTCCAGCTCCTATGTTGGCAACCTCCTGCAAGTCTCTGGAAGTGTCTGGTGGCTCATCTGTGGAAGGCACATTTCACATTATCCTCCGGCATGGTCCGACGAATTTAGCATTACGCGCGGCGAACCAGCCAAACAAAAAGTCACCAGAGATTGCCACAAACCAGGCGCGTTTCAACCAGCTTGCCACGTGTTTTTGTTTAATCCCAGAATGCAAGGCATACAAAGCGCCCCTCCAAAACTCATGGCTCCACCTTGGCCAATGCGGGGTTGCGATTCCCACGGTGTCCACTCACTCGCCCCAAGAACCTGGGGTCGTGACAAACCGTGCCACTCGGACTCCCATCCGAGCGACTTGTTGTAGGCATCCCCCGGCCCGTAGTGGAGCATCAGCTCAGTGTCCAGGTCGGTCACGAAATGCACCAGGGCACCTGAGATTCTCTGCCCATGGGCTAAAAGGCAACGCGCAGGAGTTGGACCCAAATGGAAGTGTTTGTCAAGACCAAGCGACCCCTTTAGTTTTCAGACTCTGCATGCCCAAATAGTTTGGAGAACACCGCGTAGTTTACCTGGGCAGCTGCGATCAATGCTTGCTTTGCAAGGCAGGGGTACCATTCAAGTCGAAGATGCAGTGTCAACTGGAAAACTGGAACTAAAGCTGCAAGTTGTGAGTTCATTAAAAAAACACAAAAACGGAGGAAAACTGGAAAACTGGAACTTGCTGCAAGTTGCGAGTCCAAAAAAACAACATACCAATGCTTCAGTGCAGGGGAAAGTGCTTTGCACCGGGCAGCCATGCACATCTACACATCCGCTCCATATCGCTTGCGAACGCGCAGGAACTCTTAGTAAGCTGAGACTGACAATCAGTGAAGCGGAGGAAAAGGCATTTGGTGGATTTCCTTGAAAGCGATAAGCAAAGGCAATTGCTGGACTCCGCTCTCCGCCATATGTTAGGTGTTGACTGGTCTCCTCAAAACGCAGCTTGTGGCACCAGGTGTGCTGTGCAATTGCTTAATTCAAGTGCAGAACAAACAATACTTGTACCAAGTATTTCTCCAGCATATTCAGGGGCACTATTCGCATCACTTTTCCCTCGTAGGTATGCTTCCAGAGCTTGCTTATCGGTGGCCCTTGTTTGCCTCGCTCGCTGTCTCACTTGTGCTAAACGACAAAAGACGGTGTTCGGGTATTGGCCGGCGTCAGACTGCTCTGGCAACAGCTAGCTTCAAGAGTGGCCAATACCTTTGCCAACCAGCAAACACTAACCGCACCACAAAGTGCAACCCAAGTCAACTCAAATGACGTAAATTACTTCAGTGGTCACGCCGCTTTTTCTGAAGCAAGCGATGTGATTTATCAATTTATGCGAGGGGGAATGGAAGGTAGAGAGGTAAACCAGTCTCATAAGCCCTAGCATGGCAGCTCGCGGTGAATGAGGACTCCCGTGTAAATAACAACAAACAATGGTTTCCCATGGTTTCAAAGTGGTGCAGGGTTTCGTCCATCCACAGTATTAGTTTAGCATGGCAGCAGCAACTCTTACGACGAGGCGCCTTCAGCCCAGACCGCTCCGACTCCCATCAAGTTACCGCCCCTCACCTGGCATCGCTTGCTATGGGCCCTCCTGCCCGCGACGGAAAAAGGACCTAGGAAAAGGCATGTCTCACCGTCTCACCATAGAGTAACAAGCATCAACAAGGACACAACAAGTTCTCAGTTCTCACTACAGGGCAACAAGGACTTGAGAAGAATCCCCCTATGAGGCAGACTGCGACACTGTTTTCAATGACCAGGCAGCAGATTCGGGGTGTATCCTCTGCCTGTGGGAGGGGGAAGCTAGCAGGCCGTTAGATCGGCATTGCTTGGCTGCGGGCGGCAACCGGGAAGTTATCTAGGTCAGAATTCAGCCGCCAAGGGACCGCAGGTTTTGATGCATGTTTCCACTTGCCAGGGTTCAATTGTGGCAACCTAGTTTGACCCGGCACTCATTTCCGCGTTTCTCAAAATTGAGGACCCCTCCAGGTAGGTGCTATCCTTGGTTTCCCTTTAAAACCACCATCCCTATTTTAAGAACCCCCCATCCGACTTTCTAAGAACCCCCCATCTCATGAAGCATTGTGGCAAAATCCTCACTAAACGCGCAGTAGGTCCCTCCACAAGATACCAAGCATGACTCAGAGGGCTACAAGGTGTCACATGGTCCATCATCCTGAGCCACGCTAGACTGGACACAAGCTATTGATCAGCTACTGGTCCGTCCATAGGTCATTGCCCAAGTCTGCCTTTCGGATGAAATCAGAGCCAGGCAGATTCACCCATGGTGGTGATAAGGTGGTCGATCCACTTTCTCTATACCAAGGAAGTCCACTTCAGGAACGAAGCTGCGCCCTGGAAAAGAATCAGCTCTGGCCTTACCTTCGGCAACTCAGTCTAACCATGCAACCAGGTGCAGTGAACCACGCGCCGCAAAGACATGATATGAGGAATATCTCTAGCTAAGCTCAAGGTGAACTAGCACTTCACCTTGGCGCGACAAGCAAACCTTTCCCATCTCAAGAGATGCGCCCGAACGCTGGACCCGTGGCCTTCCAGCGAGTGGTTCGCACGGACCTTAGGGGTTTGGTCATTGGCAGCTGACACCGCCAGGCTAGCTGCGAATGCCGAAGTTGTTTCCTGAAGCCTCTAGGCAGAACAAGCAATGAATAAGCATGCTTAGTCCTAGATGAGCTCCGCGAAACAGGTTTGCTTGCTGGCTTGTAGCTATGCTAGACACAACGCTCAGTGACTTTGCAGTGCTCATGCTTGGCTCAGCGCCTCTCCTAACTGTGGCCACTTCTGTTTCCCTCAAATCGCCCTCGACAGGCTCTATCTGCCCTGCCCGCGGCAAACATCGCCAACGGAATCGGACTAGAACAATTCAAATCCTGAGCTGGAGCGACAGAGAGAGATAGCAAGGGAGAGACAGAGAGGCGGAGAGGGATGAAAAGAAAGGAAAGCAAACATTAGAAAGAGAAAGAGATGGAGAGGGATGCAAAGAAAGACCCTTGAAAGAAGGAAGGAAGGACAAAACAAATAACAAAGAAACAACGCAATACAGGAATAAAGAAACAGATCAATCAAAGGCATGACTAAAAACATACATAAAGCAAGACACGATGCAATGATCAAATACATCAAACAATAACTGAAGCAAAAGAAAACACATTGAACAACAGAGAGAGAGAGAGAGAGAAAGATAAATATATAAATAAAGAAAGCAACAAAGGAAGAAACAAAAAGAGAGAGCAAACATTCAACAATAACGAGAGCAACAAAACAAAGAAATGCAGAAAGAAAGAAATTCCGAATGAACGTAAAAAAAGAATCACGAAAGAATCAAAGATAGATAGATAGACTTATGAATCATACTTATGAAAAAAAAGAAAGAAAGAAAGAAAGAAAGAAAGAAAGAAAGAAAGAAAGAAAGGAGCAAATAAACACATACAGACATAATGAAATAATTCGGTGCGTGGGGCAATGCTGCGCGCACGAAAAAAGAAAGAAAGAAAGAAATAAAGAAAGAAAGAAAGAAAGAAAGAAAGAGACAGGGAGAGAGAGAGAGAGAGAGAGAGAGGGAGGGAGGGAGAGAGAGAGAGAGAGCGAGGAAGAGCGAGGAAGAGCGAGAGAGAGAGAGAGAGAGACAAAGCGAGAAAGAGAGAGAGGGAGAGAGAGAAAGAGAGAGGCGGTGCGTCTCCCCCGGGTCAGAGTAGATGCTCGTGCGGTATCTAGTGCGCTTGGCGAGAGCCATGTCATGCAAAAGCCAAGTTGGGTACCAGATTGGGCATAGGGTCTCGTCAAAGCAACCCAAATAGCTAAGACACTGCAAAACATTTGAAACATTGCCCTTGGCACGTGAAAGGTAAATATAGGAGATATAGTGCAGTTGTTCTCGAACAGAGCTTGTCTTGAAGAGGGCTGAATGTCAGCATTGTCATAGTCTGCCGCTTGAATGACATCAAGTCGCTAAACTTGCCGATAGCCTTGTGCTTCGCTCTTGGCTGCTTTCAATGTAAGCGAGAAGAGACAGGCAAACCTGCAGAACGTCGGGATCACGTAGCTCTTCCATTCACCAGCCGCCCATCGACCCCTTCAGTGCAGACGAATCGGCTGGTCGAAATACACTTCCTCAGGCGACCTCCTCTGAAAACACCGGCAACATCGGCTGATGAGTGAGTGAAGCGCCGCCACCAGCTGGCACCACCTGGTCTTTATACCGGTGTTCTTCCAAATAAACGCCCACAGGGTTAAACCTGCTCACTATTCGTGTTCTGCAAGAGTCTTGATGCAACCATGTACAGGGGACCAGGGGGCGTTTATTTATACGAATTACACCGGCAAAGACCATCCTAATTTGACTTCGTGACTAGCCGTCACGGATGTGGTGTTTTCTTTCCTTTCCCATTGGTGTCCTTGGCATTCACCTGCGGTATTTGTGCCCCCCTTCACCCAAGCTGTGCGCTCTGCGGGCGTTTATTGAAAAGCACCGGTATTGCATCATGAACACCAGATCGACCGAAACAGGGAGGGTTGGTGCAGCGTTGTCCCATTTCTCTTTGCTGCTGGCCAGTTGAACCAACCGCATCTACGGCCTCAAATGCCCTGCGTTGCTCGCAAGCAGTACAACACTAGCAATTCGTTGGGGGCACATTTCGACAAATTGCCAGGCACATATCATAGGCCACGCACAGGGTTAGACACCATGAAGGGAGTGGCCAAAAAGGCTCAACGTTGTCTCTAGTTGCATTGAGTGCATCGAAACGGTTCCCGTATGGGTCAGCCAAACAGCCTCTCTGACGGCACCCACCCTAGTTCTCACGAAGTGTCTAGGTGATGTGAGCCTGTGGATCGCAAGCTTTCTGATTGCCTCTGTTTCTGGTTGCAGCTGCCCTCCAAGGTCCAAGTGAGGATCAGAACTGCTCGCTACTCACCAAGGTTACTGCTAAAGTGACACCTAGCAGCGAATCTCGATCAGTGCTCGCGCGAGCCTCCAGCTATAGCAAATGGGAACCTCTCCAAATGCTCGGCTACCTTCAACATGCAAAGGGCCTTGCCTGGACACTGTGTGCTCCCACGAGGCTTCGGGTCCTCGAAAAGGCCACGGCAGTCCCGGAACGATGGCCCGATTTATTTGGCGCACGGCAGCTCGAACGCAATCGAAAAGGAACTTCCCTTAAAGGAAACCACCAGTTGGATGGTTTATAGGGGTCATTCCTTCATTCCCTCCTGAGCAGCAAGTAAACACAAGGTCCAGCCGTTCCAACACTCCCTTCCATTTGCTTAAATCCCCTGGAAAAAAAAAAAAAAAACAATCCACCAGTGGTAGATTCCAAATATTTCCACCAGTGATAGATTCCCTTTTAAAACCAACAGGTGAAAAAGAAAAAAAACGCAAACACCACCCCTGACCCATTGCTGCCGAGGCCACTTGCCAGACTCCGCTTCCGTCGCGCGGTCAGCAGCAGCACTGAACAAGGACTCCGCCTGCAACGTGTCTCGCCGCGTCTAGCTACAAGCAGTGACGAACCCACCGCCGAACGTTATGCGGCCATGGGTCAAAAGCCCGTACCCCCAGTGAACATCACAATCCCAACTAAAATAGACTAAAATGGGTGGTGCACCTACCCCGAAATGGTACCAGTGGTTTTGACCCACAGCCATGTTCCTTCTTGTTCTACAGCTGAGGAGCGAGTCTTTTTACGGATTTCCGGTGATACCCGGTCAATCTGCAGAGCAGGACCCGGGACAGCCGTTCACATAGTAACAATCAGGACAGCTGTGTGGATTAAATAAGTTATAGCTTATTGTCGAGTGATTGCACTACTTGCTGTGTCGAAGCTGCAAATCCCAAAGTATGAGCTGGTCTCCTGCGTGGCTGAAATCCAACTTTTTGAACCATTCCCACTAATGTTGACCCGCTTTCTGGACGCAAGATCGGATCTCAGGGCGAGTTCCGCCGTTCCGCTGAAATCAGTGATCCTACATACAAACAATCCTGCCAAATTGGCGTGACGATGTCAAGCCTTGCCGCCCTGCCAGTTTGCTTGCTGTGTATGGTCCCAAGGCAACAAAAAGCAAACCATGCAACAGGTGGCTTCCTTGTGCTCGTTCAAGGTTCTGCAAGTAGCATTCGGAGTGATCCAAATGGTTACGTGGAACTTGACAGAGTAGGTCCTCTTGGTTGCCAGGTTCCGCTGAAAAGGAGCTCCTGTGATCCCGCATGGCCACTGATCGCTTTGTTGCGGAGCTATCTCTTGATTGTGAGGATGCCTAACCCTATTTTCCTCTTACACGATTCCCCATACTTGCCTAAGGTCCAATACTCGGGCGTGTGGAAGAGTGGTATACGTGGATGCCGTCTGAAAGGCACACCGTCACAACGAAGCACCATGCGGGAAGCTGTGGGCCAGAGGCTTGCCTGTTCCTCCCCGTTTCGCCAGTTTCGCAGCCCATGGTTCTTGTAAGTCCGCCTAGCGGCAGGCCCAGCTTCATCTCTATCAACCCGCTTTCCGCCTGTGGCCACTCCGCCGTGAAGTCCTGATGCCCAGGCTTGTGCCTTGAGTCGACTGGAAGTCGTGCTTGAAATTGGTGGGGAATGATGTTGGAAGGAACCGTTTTTGGATTCCCTGAAAGGAAACCATGGATGGATTATACGGGTCACTCCCTCATTCCAAGTCTCATTCCCTGGTGAGCACCAGCAGGATGAAGAATCGGTTGGAAGGGGACATCATTTCTATTTACGGGGGTCCCTGCTCGGTGCTAGACACTCTTGAAAAAAGGCTTGGAGAAAAACTGGCAACTTGTACGCTAGGGAGACCTTTTGCATTGGGCACATTCCTGACATCTCCATGTCAAGGTCCTTCACCACTCAATTCATGTCAACTCCTGCGTTGAATGTTGGTTATATAAGGTCTCACATTTTCTCCTAAATGGAGATTTCAGAAACAAGCCCTTTTGCTCCTGTCACTCTCCCAGTCTCACAACCTCTGTGCGAATTTCTTCCACGGTGCCAGCCCTTGGGAGGCTGGTGCAGCACGAAGTTTACCGCCTTCACCTTCACATTGCGGGGGAAGGGGATCATCACGCGCCTAAACCTCGGCAGTCGACGGGGATGGCGTGGGTTTCTTTGAGAGACACCGCAAAGATTGGCAGCTGAGTGCCCAGCCCATCGTCCTCCGCATCCGAGAAAACCGTCTGATTGGCCCCTGGGAAGGTCTTGGTCTTGTCCGGCCAGCTGGCATTGCACACCTGGAAAAAACATTCTGACTCACAGCGCTTGATGTGTTTCACCAACGGCTGTTGACACAACCACAGCCCGTGCCAAGGCGCACTTGCTTACAGCGGTCATGTCATAGCCCTTACAAGCAGGGACCCTCAAAACTCCGAGCATCTCCAAGCACCCACGCCTGACCTGGGGATGATGAGGCAAACCATCCAAGGTGAGTGTTCGCCGAGCAGTTTTGCTATAAACCCCGAATCATCCTGACATTGCCTGCGTCAAGCAATGTGAGAACTAGTCCTGAACTCACTGCTTCCCAAGCATCTGCCCCGCCTGCTCCGGAGCATTGGACCAGCCGGCGCCGAAGCTCTCAATAAGACCCCAGTGAAAGATGAGCTCCCCTGCGCACAGGTCAGACACCCAATCGAAAAAAAACAGGAAGCAACCAAAAAGAAAGAACAGCAGCAGCAGCAGCAGCGGCAAGAATAGCGGCAAAAATGGCAGCAAAAATGGCAGCAAAAATAGCAGCAAGAATAGCAAGAGCAGGAACAACAAGAAAATATGATACCGAGTTTGGTCAGCTTGGATGTTCTGCAAAAGGCATGCCCGCCTAGCGCCTCCGTGAGGGGATGGCTTATGTGGAGAGACTCGAACAAACATGAGACTGCATACGCACAAAAAAAACACACATCCATTCGCTTAAGCCCCCTGGGAGAACTAAACACATTTTCCAGTAGTGAAATCGGTTCCCTTAAAAACCAACCAAAAAACAGAGCAAATCCTGTCAGCAAATGGAGGAAAAGGAATGGACACTCCTGGACTTTGAACACTTCGCACCCGCGCCTCCGCCAAAGCCTTTGGCCCTCACTTCCAGCACTCTACCTGGAGAATTCTGAGGTGCTTTGCCCCTTTCGACCCTTTTAGTAGCAACCTTGACCCCCTTTGGCGCTGGGAAGAATCATGTCTTGCGTTTCAGGCCAACTTGGAAGTCCTAGATTGGAGACCTCAGAACTCAATCTGAAAACGTAAATGCCGCTGCGTTCATGGATCTCTGGATGTTGCTTCATTGGATGCTCTCTTTTTTGCTTGCTCATCCGCTTTCCGTTCATGTTATCTTGCCTGCAGTAGATCCTGCTCAGAAAAGGCATCGAGAACTACAGCTTTCGCATTGCGGACGCACGTGTTGTTCGGGGTGAACCATCAAATGCAAGTCAACACATCGAACACATAATGGCAAGCTTGTGCGGGATATCGAATGAACATGTCGTTCAACGTTTATCTATCCGATTGTGTGCACTATACGACTAGGGCTGTCAGATTGCACAAACACAATACTTGCCACATTACAATACATCGCATGCACGCTGTGTTTGCCCTGCCACACGACAAGCGGGTGCGACAAGCGGGTGTGATGATGTGACCTGGGTGATATCATGGTCACGAACGAGTGCTGACTGCACAAATGCCCGCCAGGATCATTGTCTGATGCTAAGTCGACAAGGACACTGAAAACCAGGTTGTGCCACCGATCCTGGCAATCATGCCACTAGAGTGGCAATCAAACTAAACTAAGCAAACAAACTACCAAGCAAGCAATCGAACAAGCAAAAGAGCAAACACACCGACAAACTCAAAGCACCAACTCGCAGAATCTTTGCCCCACCGCTGCGCTTTGCTGAACCGCTGATGCATTATTGCCATGTCGTTGACGTTGTAGGCAGCCAGCCAGCAGTTTCGCGACACGATGGTGTATTGGCGAAAACATGGTGCAAAACTGCGAGTCATGTCTCTCCCAATTGCACTGATTGGTCTTCCTGATCCTATCAGAGAAAATCTTCACGGGCGGGCCCTGCCAGCCCAGATTACCTTCTCACGGTCAATCGTTCGGGAAGAACATCTGACAAACTCGCGCAAAAACAGCCCATGAAAGTTCGTATTCTCAACCTTAAAAGTTAGCTGAACGCTGGCTGCACAAACGTAGCCACGGCTGAACCTCCAGCATGAAACGTACTGCGGTCCTTCAGCGCCGTCCGGGTAAAGGATGGCTTCCACTCGCTTGTCCCCAAGGTCTGTGTCGATGACCTGCACGGCGTGACGTGTCTAAGCGCCTGACTGGCAAGCAACCCGTAAGCCAAGCAAAGGCCTTGACTCAGCTTCAGGGACGCGGAAAAGCAAAGCAAACGCACTGTGAGGGACAACTGAGGCTTTCTCACGCAACAAAGAAGATTTGGCCTTGCACCATACACAAAGGAATTAACCGCGAGTGGCCAACATCGACACAGCAATGACATCGAGCGAACAGTCTGCTTGACAGCCGATTGCAGAATGCCAAAGTCCTTCATCAAGCATCCATCAAGCAATGGATGTGTTTCGACACCAAGGAGCTTCTTCCCAGAACATGCTGAGCAAAGCAAGCTTTCAGCTTGCTAGTCTTAAACTTGTCCCAACTCAGGTCACCTCGCATAAAGGTTCACTGGCTTTGCTCAGCCTCCTAGTAAACACACACAGTTTGACAGGCTTGCCTGTGGCAAAAGAGGAACAACATTCTCTACTAGGTCCTCCAGCAGAGAGGTTGGAATAAGGGTACCCTTTTTTCTGTAGGGGAACCCTCCCCCAAAAAAGGGTAAAAGGCACTACTGGGGGACCTAGACTAAATGGCCGCGCGGAGGCAGAAGCCCGAAAGCCGCGTGTAGGGTATGAAATAGATGGCCACTAAAGCCTTTAATCAAATGCGGCCCTCAAAGAAATGACTCATTGCATCTCCCCCACAAAGAAACAATGACCAACAAATGACAACACCCTCTGTCTGCGAAACGGAGACCCGTGTTGCTTGGAATCAAATCTCGTGCGTTTCGTGAAACTGCCTGCGCCACCTCTGGTAGGGGACCAACAAACAAAGCCATGGCATGGTCCCCGCCAAACCCGGCACACACACCCACGCACCTTCGCGCCCTCCCCTCCTTGCAATCGGTTGAGGCGGAGTGCCCTGAAAACTCGCCTTCCGTTTGATTCATGGCAAGATGCCTCTGAAAAAATGGCCCCTCAACCAATGGGTGTGTCTTTTCTTGATGGTACCCTTTGTGGGGGTCGTTTTAGAGGGAGACCTCAAGGAAATACCAGTCATTTGGGTTACACGTTTAGACACCCCCATGACTTTAAGATACTGATCGAACCAGCAGCCACAAGCGACTCACGGTCTGCAAAGGCCCTCGCACCCCAAGCTGTAAACACCTAGCTTCTGCCCCTGCATGATCCCTTCCTCCTAGTGAACAAAACACTCCCCTCCCCCCCGCACAAATAGTAATCATTAAACTTAAACTCAAAAACAAAAAACTGGGGATTAGGAGTTCCAGGCACACGTTCCGAAGAGATTTACAAGTAAACGGAGATCGGTTCCTCTTTCAAATCATCGTGCTTGCTGCAGTGCTTGCTGACTGTTGGCAAAGGGTCCGTTGCGGAGGAGATGGTAGCAGAAGTCAGCCAGCGCTTGCAGACGTATTCTGTTGTATACCAGTTCCATGCGCGAAAGCCACCGTTGGAGCAAGCTGTTCTTTAGGCGCGAATACGGCAAGGAATGGACTTATCATCACGATATCCAACATAGGCACGCACCTGTGTGTGTGTGTGGAGCCCTGGAAGATGTCTTTTCAGTCTGAGTCTGCGCCCTTCTCACAGAAAAGGCTGGTAGTTTAATGCTGAATTGGCTAGGACACTGGGTCAACTTCACCACAAGCCAATGAGACTGATGGACAAGCAATCTTTCCCAGGATGGACCAAACCCTACAGAGTGAACCATCAATCCCCAATGGTGCGAATTGGATTTTGTCCTTCAACAGTAACAGGGCAGAAGGCTCCGACCTGCCCACGGCCGCAAACGGACTCCGTCCTGTCGCGGGCTTTGCCGGCAGCGGCAGCTTCGATGGCTTCTTTTGGACCTGACCGCGATCGGGCAAAGTCGCTCCCATCAGTGCACTTTATCGGGCTAGTGCTGATATGTGGTTGTGTCTTTCTTTTTTAGGGGACCACCAAAAATGGTGGTTATCCTTTTGGTTCGCCTTTTACATCCACCCAAACGGGGTACCAATGCAAGTCTGTCTTAAGCGGCTCCTCTGGCCATCCACGAGCTAGTGTCAAATGGCTATCGCTTTTCCGTCTCAGCCCGCTTGCCCAATCCCCATTGAGGAGGCTGCAAGTTTGAAAGGCGGGAGGTTGATGGTTGTAAAACGAAGGGACCGTCGGCTCGTTGCTCTGGTTTTGCGCACTTTGAGCAACGCAATGCGGCGAATACCGAGCTGTGACAATCTACTCAAATGCCTGCTCAGAACAGGGAAACCGCTACCTATCAATACGGATTGCCCCCTTTCAGTTTAGCTACACAGTCTCCAGCCCCAGATTTCCAGAGCTGCGACGTGGCACACCCGCTTTGACCCTTCCCGCGCAGAAGGGCGCCTGCTCGCGCGACGGCTTTCTGGGCGGGGGCTGGAACGCTTCCTCCTTTTTGGTCTCCAAGCTCTCGCCCTCCTCGATCGCGTCCATGAAGGCACCTCATCGGGTTGGACTAGAAGGGGCCTATGGGTAATGAGTAATGGTCCACCGATTCACCCAACTGAAAGCAGGATGGCAGAAATGCCTTGGAAACAAGCATGTTTTGCTTTACGGGGGCCGGAAGTGTGTCCTAGTTCCACGCTGCTGGAGCAAATCCAATGGGAACCGAATGATCAGGCAGCGGAACACAACAAACGTACTCGCGCGCGCGCGCCGACAGCGCCCTTGAATAGTACTCCCGGTCACCTGTGCTCGACACAGTGGTCTAAGATCAAAGCCAATTGCCCGATTTGCAGTCATGCTATCAACTGGCAAACAGAATAACGCCCACAGGTCCCAGGTGTCCTTCTGCTAAAATAGATGGCGCCGGAAAATGCTTAGGGTCATTCAGCAACGGTGTGCCATCAGATGTTCAACCAAACTGACCTAAAAAGGCCACCGATGATAACTGGGCCGCCCTCAAATCCCCCGCCAAAAAGTTTAACTTTTAGTGGAGTAAATGGAAACTACCACAAAACACTAAACAAATAAAAAGCTAAGGGGATGGCTGAGAGCCGCCAAGATAAGGTCGTGCTCAAGACGACATCCAGAGGTCGTCTGCCGCTCTTTTTATCAGCTCCAAGGAGGTCTTGCCGAGGCGCCGGACATCAGCGATCTCATGCGCACCATGGACTGCATGCGCTCCATGGCTTCGTTGCTTTGCCGCTTGCCTGAAAGTCTGAAAGCGAAGGCCGACCGATGTGCAAGCCGGCTCGGTTGGAGGAAGCTGGTAAGAACTAACATATTGCTCGCTGCCCCAACGTTGTCCAGCGAATGTTTGCAGAACATGGCCCATACCGCTGGAAATGAAGGATACCTCAACAAAAACGGATCAATGGACAAACTAGGAACACAGCTCTCAAACAAATGGGCCTGATTATTGCTGCTGAAGCTTTTTTTGAGCTGGCTCAGCTCTCAGCAAACAAAGCAACAGTAGCAGCAAAGTCACCCAGTTGCGGCTTCAAGAAAACGGATCATTCAGGGATGTTCAGGGACATTCAGGGAGGGGTGGAGATTCGCCATGCCATTCACAATCCGCAGAAATGCGAGCAAGTCGCCTTATCGATGTTTACAACTGCCCAATTCTGGAAACCTCCTTGCTGCATTACCCGGGAAAGTGGCAAGAAACAGAACACGTAAGTGTGGCTTCAACAAATACTAGACGGTCTTTTGTGTCTGAATATTTTGCAGACCTGTTTACATGAAAAACGAGCAATCAAACGTAGAGTGCGTCCTGTTCGCACCAAGCGACCCGCCACGAAATTTGCGCATGGTAAGGGCTCGAAAGAGGTCCCGGTATTCGGGGATTCTCGTTTGGGGATTCATTGGAGTGCAGGGGTCAACACGAATCCGGGACTCAAACGCAATCTGACTCTTCGGGCCTCCTAAAATGGGACGGGCAAAGCTGGTCCCTGCCATTCACCTGGCATGCTGACTCAGCACTTACTTACCTGGTACGCTATGTTTTGGAGGATAATCCGTTCCCCCTATTAATAAAGGTCTCCCTAACAATAAATAATTGTTTCCAAAGTCCCAAATCGGGGAATACTACTTTGATAATAGCCAATACTAAACCAATTCTGAAGCAGGTATTTTCCTGCCCGTACTCAAATCCAGTCCCATTAGGGGGAACCGGGGCACGTTTCCTTTACTACGGCTGTACTACAAAGTTGCGACTTTCGAGCTGGAGCTGCGGGAGCACGTTTCCTTTACGGCTGTACAGACACACACCCACACACACACACACACGCGCACCTCCAGAGCCAGGGGAACCCTAATGATAAGAATTAGTTGCCGGCAGGGTTTGTTTTTATTGGGGGGGGCGTCTTATTTTTGGGGGGAGAGGATTACCGCGTTCAGCTTGGTTCAAATGTCAAAGCTGAACCCAAAGGTAAACCATCTTTGGGGTACCCTCCCCCCATTGTGTCACACCCAAAATGCGTGTGCTTCCAGCTCCGATGTCTGAGCTGCCGATGTCCTGGATGTGGGGTGTGCCCGTACTGGAGGTAAACTCCATGGACATCCGGCGCTTGATGACCTCCTTCATGTGCCGGTTGATGTCCTGAACTCTGGCCTTCTGGGCCCTGAGTTCGAAATTTTGTAGCCAGGCTTGGTTTGGAAGAACCTCTTGGGCCCCAAAGACTTGCTTGGCCACACCAGGCCCTAGAGCCAAGAAGAAAGTAGAGCTCAGTGTCTGTTGATATCATCAGCTCAAGCCTAAGAGAGTCAAATGTCGATGCACAATTGCAGTAGAAACTTGGCCCAAAATACATCCCACGACAAGGGTGGTACTTTGGGACAACAACATTAAAGGGCTTCAAACAAATATCATCTCGGTTGTTCGCTCCAACGACACCCACTGGTACTACTTGGGGATCAACAACTGCATATTCAAGGGGATCTATGTGGAACACATATCCATTCCTCCCACGCACACACTCTCACACACACACACTCGTCCTGCATTCAGCCCAAGTGGCCGATGAACAAACTTCCTACCACTCCCCACGCCATACTCGCTCAATGCTCATATCCAATGTCTGCACAGTGCTCAAACAATACTAAACCAAATGAAACTCAAACCTGGAAACTAACTCAAACAAACACCTCAACCCAATCTCAGCAGGAAGCAACAGCAATACTAAATTTCATGGAAACTCCAACCTGCAATGAGAAATCAAAATGGAAGCTCAACTCGCTTCTGAGAAGCAAGCACTGGCAATACTAAATCACTTGACAATTCCGATTGGCCAAAGCAATCCTGCTCGATTCTAAATCAATTGATTTGGTGGGAGAGGAATCGTTTGAGACAGGTTGCTTGGTCGAGGGCCGTCAAAGCATAGTATGTTTTGAACAGGTCATGCCGAAGCTGATCGTCCATCTCCCCGCCTCAGACCTGTTCCGCCTCCTTTGCTGGCTTGTTTTTTCTTTCTTTTTTTTACCAACGGTGAAGGCATTCAGTCAACGAGTCTGCCATTCCTCGGATTCGGAGACCCTCAAACCTGGAGAGGAGACCTTGCTTGAGGAGGCCTCGAAGTCCCGACGGTCAAAAGGCAAGCTGCCTCCAGTCCATCCATCTTCCTGTGATTCTGATGTGCCAAAGGGCAGTCCTGATGGGCGCCGTACTCCGCATCTGTCCTGGCATACTCCTTGATCGACCTGGGCGGCCGAAATGGAACGAGCGGAGGCGCTGGCTTCAGCTAGCCGCCCTTTGCTCTCTCTCTCCGCAAAGGAAGGACTCCAATGCTGCACTGGAAAGAATGCTCACTTCCTGAGTGAATGGGCCAACAAAAAGTTTGGACTCATTTGTATTTCTACCACCAAAAGTGTCTTCCCAAAATGTTTGAAGTCCAGGAACTCGAAGAGTGAGTGCAAAACATGACAAGCAAGTGCATCGCAGGAGGCGCTGGTCGAAACAAAGGCTTGCCACCAGACGCAAACCAGAAGACAACTTGAGTCGGCAAAAACAGCAGAAGGCCCTCACTTTTCTGGCTAGTGTCTTCTGCTAGGTGCGGCCGTCCTACAAAGCGTTCGAGTTGTTTCTTTTGTGCAAGCTACTTTTTGTCGGAGTAGGTCTTCAGCACGATGCAGCTGTAGGGCTGCCTGGGCAGTGCGATCTCAAACAGTATAGCATAGCATTCTCGTGTCGGCTGTGTGTGTGTGTGTGTGCGCTTTTGTATGCGTATGTGTATGTACGTCTGTATGTGGGTCACAATCCGTGTTTGTATGTGTACGTATGTGTATGTGTATATATATTATACTATATATGCGTGTGTAGAATGCGTCCCAAGCCAGTGGCGCGCCGCATGTCACGTTGGCACCACGCAACAACTTGGGCCCAAACTTGATGCCTTTCTATGCTCGATGTTGCTCGTCCAAGATCGTGTAAGGTTGATGACAGCCGTTCTAACGTACACAAATCCGTGCAACATGCAAGCACCGGACTCTGGCCACATGCCGGCCTTCCAATCAGTCAACCCCTCGTCGCCTCGCTCCCAAAGACTGAAATTCGCCAAGGGAAAAGCCTGTACCCCCAGTGAACATCCCCATCCCCACTAAAATAGGTTCTAAAATGAGTGGTGCACCTACCCCAAAATGGGATCCCATTTGTTTTGACCCACAGCCAGTTCTTGGAGGATTCGCCAAGGGCCCCAGTAATAGACTAAAATGGGTGGTGCATTCGAGGTGCATCACGTAGGACTGCGAGGTGATCTTCACCGACGAGGCCTCGTTCTCGCAGATGTCCTTTGGTGCTGGCAGGTTGGTGTCGATGATGCCTCGAGAAAACTGCTCTAGGAGCCAAAAGAGACAGCTGGTCGTCCCAAAAGGGTTTGCAACCATGTTTGTTTGCCATGTCATCAAAGAATCTATAGTTGCAAACATTCAAGTACCCCAAGCTGCCAAGGCTTGTTGTATGACACGTTGTATGACATGTTGGATGGCTGAGTGCCACAAATTTGGGGATGACCCTTCTTGGGAAGCTAGCAAGCAAGCAATTCTGAATTTCACGCATTCAGTGCACCTGACAAAGCCATGTTTGGGTCACTGCCGCTGCTTCAAAAGAAAGCGGGCACTTGCGTTGGGTGGTCAAGCCAACCTCAAAGAGCCCCGCTCGCCCGCAGCTGAGTGGCGGTACCAAGGCTTATCTTGCGGCAGGTCGCAACATCTCACCTGCGCGTAAGGGAACAAATTGAAGGCTTGATGCATTGCAAATAACCAGCCACTAAGCTGTTGGGAATCAACATTGACATTCGCATTCTGGTCTGGAGCGCCTGCCTCCACATCATGACACTGACAGGTGTGCGGATCAGAGAAAGCAAAAATGCCTGCCATCAACTCCTCAACCGCTCGAACAAGTTGTCCAAGTGGATAGATCAAACGGGAGGGACCACAACAACAAATGCGACACTGCCAATGACCGGTTCTGGGTAGATCAAGGCTAATGCCAGCCGTGGGTCAGAGCGTTGGAGCGTGGCGCTCGAGTTGCGACACGATGTTGATCACTCCAAAGGGACACAGCTGCACGCGAATAAGCAAGCCATCGAAACACTGAGCCTGAACAGTAAGACCGCCAACTATCTGGGTCCAAGTCTTATGCCCACAACTTGACAGCAACCCATAACTCCGGTTTATAGGTTAAACCAAGACATCCCACCAACTATAGGAACCAATCCATGGGGTGTTCATTAAAAGGTCCTTTATATGGGATGACCATTGGGGGAAACCAGCAAAAAATGATATTTCAACCACGTGGATAAAGTTACCCATGGTCAAACCAAGGGGCCGTATACGGAATGTTGAATCCCCCAAAAATCGAAGTTCTATTGCCGCGGGTGTATCCCATCAGCTTGTATTTGATTTGACTCCGGTTTATGGGTGAAACCAAGGCATCCCACCAATTGATTCTTGGAAGCAAGACATGGCTGTGGGTCAAAACCCTGTACCCCTGGTGAACATCAAAATAGGTGGCAAATGGATGTTCATCCACCCCAAAATGGAGCCATAGGTTACGCCCCATGGCCACATGTCAAGAGACATTGTCACATCAGTCGAATGATTCTAGGCGGCGATCTGGGCCTCATGGCCCGCGTTGAATGCTACCATCAAGCCAGCATAGCCTTGACCTGTGGCCTGGCCGGGGGGACGGGTGGGGCTTGGGGGCGGGGGGAGGTGCTCTCTGTGCTCTTTCCGGAGGATGTTGTACCAGTTGTACCAGTGTACCAGTTGACCAGTTGCGCAAAGAGGGGTGCTACCGGGTTTTCCCCTACAGGTTGCAATTTACTGGTGGTGTCCGTTGAAACGATCGCCACTCTTGGAGGTTCCCAAAAGGGAAATGGAGGAACCCCTGGCAAAGCACATGTCCAACTCCAATCAAGAATCCTGGAATTGTCTTGGAAGCCCATACCATCAGCTTGGATTTGGTCGTGCATCAGCCGTTCACACTTTCGAGGCACATTGACTTGCCCCGCTCCAGAAACATCCGTTCTCCCAAGTGCACGGATTGCTCAGCTGCACACACACACACACATGGCAGGTTGGCGTGGTGGTCGTGAAGGACATAGCAAATGTAGTTGTAGGGATCATCCCAGTGAACTCGCCACCAAATGTCCTGCAGGCAGGCTGTACCCTAGTCCTCTTACACTATATAGTTGTTGCACAGTCAGTCTGCAACGAAGAGAGCATACTAGGGAGTAGAAGCAGGAAATGGATTTGGGAGAAAGTCCCATGCCAAGTCGCTTTCCTCGTCCTTGATTTACATGCTTAAAACTTAGCGACAACCTTTCCTGGCTTGAATATGCTATGACAACTGGCAGCCAAAAGTGTAAATGGATCCTTGACAAATCGACTGTTTGTTCTGTTTTTCCCAGTGTAATCTTGCTAAGATATATGGCATAGGGACTTCACCTAAACACTATCTTGTGCCAAACAACGTTTGCAAGAGCGTACTTGTCCTACAAAATATTCAAAACAAGCAAACAAAACACAACTGCATCCATATAGCATGTCCAGCAACTTGCTGATGGTCGTGTCATCACAGTTGTGGCATCCTTTGGTCCTGCATGCCCTTGTGTAGCCTTGACAAAGACTGGTCGCTTCAAAAGGAAGCAGCCGCATCATGCAGCAAAGCCACTACCTATCATGAACAGGGTTGAGCTCTGCTGTATAAACCTCCCTGTCTGCCACTCGCGGAAGGAATCCCCACTGAAAAGGTCACGTCTGAAATCAGTCCTGGGGGTCAATCAGCTGGTGGCATGACTGTCACTTTCCGGAACTGCAATTCTGCACCGAACAGCGTTCGCAGCCGATCGCGTCCTTGTTGGACATGAACTCTTCCCTGTTGAAGATGCCGGCATATTGCTTCCTGCAAAACCAAACCATGGCTCTCCCTCCCACGAGCGCCCCAGGCCTCAAGGAGATCAACAGCCGCACGAAGCGCATGAGATTGTTCTCTTGTTTCTCAGAGTCACCTGGGGTGACAAACGGCCATGGGCTTTTCAAAATCCAAATCGGTTCGCCCCCAGTGAACATCCGATTCAATCCCCACTAAAATAGGTTCTAAAATGTGCGGTGAATTCACCTACCCCAAAATGGGCCATTGGTTTTGACCCACAGCCAAATAGCACCAAGAAGGGCAGCTTGCACTTTGAAGGTCTGAAGCCCAATATAGAAACCAATGACACCCGTGGAGGATTTTTCCCAGGGATCGGACGCATTTGGCGGGTCCATGTGGGCGGAAAAGCTGACCCTGTGGATTGCCAGCGCGAATTCATGGGGATTCATGTGGACCGTGCAATCTTCAGCTGGCGAAGCTTCTCCGGCTTCTCAGCGTCTTCACGACACAATATACAGAGCACATCTGAACAAGATCTGCTTTCTGGAAGGTCGCCTAAGTGGCACTCATGCATCCCGGTGATGGGCTCTGACATGCGCCCCCTATCATGGTACGACTGTTGCGGCCAGAAGCTCCCTCCAAACAGTATGAGACTGATGCAATGTAAACAATGCAAACACAAGAGATGTCCGATTGATCAAAGCAACACTCAGTGACTGAGCAACACATATCCCAACATACTCTCATAGCTTGCGTGGGCAGCTGCCAAGCGACTCCAAGAAAACCAGCAGCGCGCATCTTGGCACCAGCCGTTGTTGCAGCCCCGCTGGGAACGGCCATACTCATCACCATAGAGAATCCTGGCGATTCTGGAAGGGGTCGTTGATTCGGGCGCCGCAAAATCAGAATGGCAGATACCCCTCCTCCCACCAACATAGCATTTGTGGGAGGGTAGCTGACATAGGTGTCCTTTTTGGAAAATAGATGGCCCTGGCAATGGAATAAAACCAATCGAAACAGTGCCATCTATTTCTAATCAAGCTAACCTAAAAAGGACGCCTATGGTAGCTGGAAGATAAATGTCCTCTTCAAGGGACTTTGTCAGGTTCCATGGCAACGTGGGAGGGCGGGGTAGGCCAAGCCTGTCCGTTACCTGCACCCCGAGGATCCGGCACCGACGTCATCTCAAGTTAGAACCGTTCACCCGAAACGAAACGAAAAAACGCGACGGGGCGGTCATGGGCGTTCCGGCGCTCATAAACAAAGCCACCATAAAGTTCCGGATCTGACGGCTGCGGAGGTGATTCACGCCCCCATCACCTGCGAGCCGATGGAAAATCGGAAAACCACCGAGATCCACAGGTCAAAGGAGAACCTCTGAAAAAATGTCACTGGGGACCCAGGTGAGCGAAACATGACACAGGCCAATGGCATGGAACTTGTTGTTTGGACTTGGCATTCTCCCCTGGGTGATTCCCAAAGGGTACCGCTGCTTCAAGCATGCGGGGTCCGTTTAGTAAACTCCCACTAGGTCCTCCAGTAGAGAGGTTAGAATAAGGGTAACCTTTTTTCTGTAGTCTACTTTAGTAGGGCAACCCTGGCCTCCCAACCAAAAAAGGGGTGAAAAAGGGCACTACTGGGACCTAGCTGGGAATCTGGGTGTTGCCCTTGTTGTAGCCCCACAGGGTCCCTCCGAGTGATATCTGGGAAGGCTTTTCTAAGGCCTTGTGCAGTCTCTGTGGTGACCCTGGTGGAGGTTACCTCGCCACACGCGAGAAGGATTTGCACAAACCAAGAAGACATGAATGAGATCATTGCGGCAGCTGTCCCGGAAAATGAGCGGGAAGCAGCAGACCAGGAGCAGAAATCAGCCGAATATGCGCTGAAACCAGGAAAATGTGCGGGAACTGCTAGAATGAATGCAAACATCTTAAGAGGATCCAACAGGCTCATTTTAGGGCCGCATTACACAATGTTGTGATTGTCCGCCGACACCAAGTCAAATGTAAATACAATTCCCATTTCACCAGGAAAAAATGTAAACGCAAGTCCCAATTCGCAAAGAAGCTCCAGCAGAAGCAAATCCAACAAAACCTCGCACCAAGCGATCCACAATACATTGAAACTCACATCCTATTTCACTCAGGCAATTCCGAAAAGGGAAACTCAAAGTTGGGCCTTATGAATATCTGAAGTCCTACGAATTTTCATCTCATTGATTTGCTGGTCGCTGGACAGGAGAAGCGAAAGGATGGCAAAGTCGGGGGCCTGTGTCACCTTCGTGGCCACAGTTCCATGAGTTGTTGTGGTCATCTCCGCTATTCTCACCGTTGCAGGTGTTGTGCTTGCCGTTGTAAGAGACAAGATCCTGCGGCATCCATCAATGTTCAGCGAAGCAAACACCTCTCCAAGCAAGACGACCCAACTCATAGGCTGCCAAGGTCTAATAGAAGTTTAAAATGCTCACCTCTTCCGTGACATTGGCTGCTGTGGTCCTTCAGTGTGAAGCCATCATGGGCAGTGATGAAGTTGATGGAATGGAAAGGCTTCCTGCCATTGTGCTTGAAGAGGTCCGAGCTTCCGCAAATCCTGGCCACTGGCGCACCCCCCATCCACACACACAGCTGGCAGAGAACGTGAGTCACTGGACCGGCCAGGAACGTTCCAAGCCGCTTTGGCGACTAGAAGGTGCCTGCCTTCGGCTTGCCAGAATCTATTTCGCTGTGAGTGAGCATCATGAATGAGCATCGGCCAAGACGGTGTGACAGCGTAACTTTCGCAACACCATTACATGAGCTAGGTCTCCTTGCAACTGGATCAAAACCGTGTTCTGAACAAACGAAAGCAGAATTCAATCACTGCAATTATCCATGTAGATGATTGCAGCCGTCTGCAAAGAACCCGCATGCTGGTAGGTTTTGAAAGGCCACATTCAAACGAGCCGAAGGAGTCTGCAGCCCCGGTTTCACCGGCGAAACAACGTACCAGCTGCATAATGTCAACTCCGTTGTCCTCCCGTGGTTGAAGGTAAGCCGTGCAATCTAAGGATGCTGGAGATTCGTGGACGAAAACACCAGGTTTTCTGTCAATGTGCATCTGTTACGTCTGCCTGAGAGAAAAAAAAAAAAAAAAAAACGCCTACCAGGATCATAACTGGCAACCTCAAACTGGGGGGGGGGGGCATCAGGCCAACTTCATCCTTTGCGGCGCAAACTGGACAGTCGTATTCTGTGCCCGATCATGCTTGACCTGGCTGTGAGTTCAAGAGATGATCAGATGATGACACCTTGAGGTGAAGATACTGAAAGCCCATGATCCCCTGGATGTTGAAACGAATGCCGAAAAGCAAACCAGCTATTTGCAGGAGTTTCGGCATGTTTCGGACAGAGCCAAGGGCCTGTTCTGGAACGCTTCAGCCGCCTGGTGGCGAAGTCCCCCTTCTTGCCCTCGTCTCCCTTGATGAAGCAGCGTATCGTATCGCGGAAGATGCCGTTCCTTGCAAGACCAGGCGCCTCCCTAAATGTTCCCTTCAAAACGCCAAACGTCACGCCGCAAACATCACCTAAATGTTGCCTTCAAACATCGCGCCGCCAAAACGAAGAAGCTCACTGAAAAGATTGGTCAAACTGGCGTTTGATATCCCCAACACAGGATGTATGGGGAGGGCTCCCTGAAAACTCACGGCCAAGAAAAGCAACCGTGATCCAGTCACCCTTCAAATGTCTCAACTTGCACGTTGGCGAGGGAATTCCGTCGAAATCCCTCCAAAGAGCTCGCTGCCACAAACTCACCCCCCTAGGCCATGCACTGCCAAGCGACCATTCGGCCCATCTGGGAGGTCCACCAGATGGAAACTTTCCCACCAGGTAGCCTCGCAAGGGGGCTCCCGCGAATGGACGCTCCGGGCATGCCATGTTCGCCGGCAAAAGGCACTATGCACTTTGTGTGCTGAGAATCGCAACTTGCCGAGACTATGCGCCTCGCCCAAAAAGGACATGTTGTGCAACCCAAACGTGCAAGAATCAAAACAACCCAGAAGGGAGTGTCCTTTTGTAGGGGGACCTCCCAAAAGGATGGTTTTCCTTTTGGTTTCCCCTTGAAACCAACCTGAAAAGGGTACCCTCAAAAAAATAACTCCCAAAAAAGTAAATCAGAATTCGTTGCATGCGCTGCTCCATCTTGCGCATCAAACGTGGAGCATGAGCAAATCTAAAGCCCAGCAACGAATGCACGAATCCTGCCGGCACTTTGAGCCAGGTCAGCTCCTGTGCTCTCGTTCTCCCTTTGCTATCGTTCTTTCCTTATTTATTTCCTTCCTTCCGGTCCTTCCTTTTTTTCTCTGTCTCTCTCTCTCTCCCCTATCACAACAGAATCAAGCAGCGTATGCTATATTGTTCATGCACATATGTAGCAAATATCGCAAGCAGGGAACATGTACACACACACACACTCTCACACACACACACATATCAACTGCGGCATTTGTTGGCACCTCGCCATGCCTATGTGAACATGCAATCAGGCAAGCGTGTGTGAGTGCAGAACCTGCACGCAAACTTCGCAACCGGCGTCGTGGACTGGCAGGTGTTGTGTTGTTGGGTGTCTATGAGCCGCTACCAGAAGACTGACACCTCTTCGCACAAAGCAGCAGAACTGAATGCCAAGGTGCCATCCGGCCAGGAGCAGTCCCACGCTTCTGCGATAAACTTTGCTCTCCTCAAGCAGCGGTGGGGATCCAGACGTTAGGGGTGTAGTCTATTTTAGTAGGGGAACCCTCCCCAAAATAGGGTAAAAGGGCACTACTGGGGGATTTGCCTAAACTTGACAAGTGAGCAAGCCTCTGAGTGGGGTTTCGTCTGCGAGCATTTGCTTGACATTCTTGGGCCGACTGTCTGCGTCCCATTTGGCCCAAGCTCGCGCTCTCTCACAGATCACCTTGGGACCTCACCACACACGTGCGAGGAAAAAGGCACCCCGAGGTGGGCCATTTATGAGAGCCCAGCCGGAAGCCGAGGAAAGGAGCGCCACCAAAAGAAACACAAAAACAGAACACGGGTGCGTTTTGCGTCGGGGAAAAACAAGACACGGGTATCCCCAAACAACTTCACTAACTCTCCTTCGCCGAGCCTCCACCACCACACCACCACCACAAGCAACTGTTCAAAAGAGAAGGGTTGGGAGGGGGCCTGTGACCCCTCAATAGCTTTAGCGGTTTGCTCTGACCCTGATAATGTTTGGGGGGCCTTTACTAACAGAAAGACTGCAGTATTTCCCTATGAATAGGCTACCAAAACACTACAGCAAAGCTGTCAGATGCGCAAGCAAGCCGGCCACGATTTGTTTCTACTGTGCGACGTGGTTGTTGGTTTGTGATCAGCTTGTTCCAGGCCGTGTCGCCTTGGTTTGTTCAAGTGAGCTTTCTTGGGCCTCTTGTCGCTGCCAGCCTGGCCTTCTGAGTGGCAGCTGGGTTCAATTCCAGTTCAATACTTCTACCCTGAGCGCGCACCTGTCAGCCCTAAGGAACTTGCCACTACAAAGTTGACAAAGGCGGAGGCTTTTCCTCCCCCTTTCCATGGGAGGCTCGACGCCCACGCCGATCAAGTTGGCCTTTTCTTTACCCCGGCGGATGCGCTTGGTCATCTGAGTGGCCGCGGCAGTTGAACGTGCTCATGAGTCGCAAATGGACTCCAACCAGTCCGAACGAAAAGAACCAACAGGGGTCTGCACCACCAATGATCAACCCAGCCATTGCAGCCGGGTCTCTTGAGCTTGGGCTCATTTGCCATCTTCTTGATCAGCAGTGGATCCATGGACACCTTCCGAGAATGCCAACGGGAGGGACGAGCTGACGTCAGCTCGTCCCAACAGGAAGAAAGGGGGAGGCTCCTGGCACCTAATCCCTTCGTTCTGCTTATGCCAGCTGCAACTTCTCATAGCTAAAGCAGAATTCTGTTCAAATCCCATGGCTCAGTGGAGCAAGCATACATGTTGGTGTCCATCCCATATTCACTACAAAGAATCAAGCCAAAATGTTAAAGCTCGACTAGGTTGATCTTTGACTCGATAAAGAAAGTCTTTGCTAGTTACGGGGGGAAGTAGTTTTCCACTAGCTCAACAAATACTCAGCTTCCCTCTAGTTAACTCTAGTTGGTGGTTTCGATTGGTGACTTGGATTGGTGGTTTGGGGTTGGGGGTAGGTTCCCAATTTGCCATCTACGTCAAATCCCCAAGCCACTAATCCAAACCACCAACTGAGGGTTGCCTGAAACACGAATGGTCAAAGGTCAAGCAAAAACGCAAAGCAGCCCGCCCCAAGCCGCACCTTGCCATCATTCCCTCTTGTGAGGGCGGAGGCCAAATCAAACCTGAAGCCATCCACGTGCATCTCGTCGACCCAATAACCTGCCGATGCAAGCGATCCAGCTAACTATGCCGGTTCTGCAAATGTATAAACAGAACCCAAAGGGGATTGCATTAACGTACTTTGTGTATGTACATTAATATAGCATGCTGCTGACTTGACAACGTGCATGCATCGAACACCGCAAGGCTACCAAGCTGCTCAGGCATTCCACGATCCAGTCAGAGCACATGGGGTCGTTCGCATTCACGGTGTTGCCGCAACCTCCAAAAGCCGTGCTGCGCCATTGCAACTCTGGCTTTCCCGGAAACTATACAGGCAAAAAGAACTACGTCTTATGCACCCACACTGGGCAATTCCGCGAGTCCTGGTGGCAAATGCTCCTTTGGGGTAGTTTAGGCCGGCCTGGCCAAGGTCGGCTTGGGAAGTTGAAGGGAAACCACCAAGGCTCATAGTTGGAGATGGCTACCTTGCAAGACATTCCCCAGTACCACATGGGCAGGTCAAACTTTGTAGAAGCAATGTTGGACATGGAAAGCCAAAGAGGCCCACAGCTTCGAAGCATGCGGCCGAGCGCAACAGCGCCTGTGTAGTTTGTGTCCTGGCCATTGCTGAGAATGTAGTAGCGGTTCTTGGCAATCGCCGCCCAGCTGTGCCAGAAATGCTCACCCCACGCACCTGGCGGGACTCGGACGAACTGCCTGCCCTGCCAGTAAACATGGAACCCAAAAAGGGGCCCAAGAAGGAGGTTCCTCTAAACATCTTGATGCTTGCTGGTCCCATGTTAATCAGCCGGTCTTTGTTCATACATTGCGTATGTGTCTATCATATGTGTATATATATATATATATGTGTATTATGTATGTTTTACTGCACGTCAGTATGAGTAGTTCAGTAGTTCCTCTTGTACCATGCATGTACCCGTTCTTAGGATGGACTCTCACACCGGACCCTCGGCGGTGTGGTTGAAGACCACGTCCAAGATCACCTCGATGCCTTGCCGGTGAAGCTCTCCTTGGGTCGCAAAAGCACCACGAAATGAGTTACCCTCCCTCCCGCGAACATAACAACTGACAGGAGGTCCCTTCAAAAGGAAGCTCATCTTCGAGGTACCTTTTTCCAGCTGCCATGTTAGTTGGAGGAAGGGTACCATGCTTGAAACCATAGTGTTGGTTGCTACTCAACCGGGGGAATTGAAGCATTCCAGGGCTTCTTTGGTGCTGCGAAATGGATTTTCTCCATCCACAGTAGCGACTGCCTAATGACGGTTCGACGCCTAGCGTATTCGTTGAGAGAAGAGCGTTGAGCCCAAACCTGGTAACCAGAATTTGTGAAGCGCTCTGATTGGGCTACATATGTTTCAACATGGATTGAGCAGTTTATTGCTCTATCATTGATCACCGTCATCTTTTTCCCTGGCAGTCGCCAATTCCAAAGAAATGTGAATACGGCTATTGGACATGTGCCTGGAGATAAACCAAAGGTGATACTGTAGCCAGAAGCAGTTCTTCCTGCTGATGGACGAAGTCCTGCACCACTTGGAAACCACAAGAAACCACAACGTTTGTTGCTATTTACGGGGAAAAAAACAGCCATTGCGAAATGGATTTCGTCCATCCGTAGGTGGTGTAATCGCCTTTAGACCAGCGTTAATGCTGAACCCGGATTCATAAACCCCCGTTCTTAATATGGGGGTGTTCCTCTCCAAAAGTGATGAATCCCCACTAAAACCGAGGACACCTTAAGATTAATAAGCAGGGGTTTATTCATCCGGGGTCAACATGATTTCCCCGAAACTCCCCGTGTGGGGCAAGCAGCTCACCAGCGTCTTGAAGCCCACGATCGCCGCGCCGATTCGGTCACCTAACAGAATTGGCCCTTTGGCCCATGGCTGGGGAGCAGAAGTTCCAGCACCATACGAAAGGTTTCTACCTTGGCTGTGCCTCACAAAATGGAATCCCTAGAATGGCCCCTGACACAAAGCCTGCATAACCCTAGCTCACAAAAACTCATTCCCTAAAATGGCACACAAAGACTAAAACCTGCGTACCCCTAGCTCTTTCAGCTTAAGCCACACCCACTTCTGCATGCTGTGCCCAAGTACACAAGCTGAGAGGCGCGAAGAGAAGCGCTGCATCGGCACGAAAAAGTTGACCTCACGTTCGACGAGCCCCGTGCCATTGGGTCCCGGATAAGAGGTCTACTCAAATATGTAGCCATGGCTCGGTGTTTTCACGAATCGGACTCCAAAAAAAGCCTGGCTTCCTGTCGGTGTCCCTTTAAAGCCCCAAACGAAGGATCCCTGCCCATCCCGCGTTTGCCGAAGGCAATGCTGCGTATTTCTTGAGTCTTTTCGGGTTGGATTTAAGGAAAACCACGAAACAAAAACACCATGTTCACGGGTGCCAGTTCTCAGAAGCCGAGGGAGTTTGTCACCTGGCCTCCGGTCGCAAAAATCCCTCAAGCGGTCGCGAACAGTTCAGCAGCTGCAACAGTAGTAGCCTTTTTCTTGATGGCCACATGTTCATTTCGACGTGACCAGACATTTATCAAGAGAACCGTGATTGTCTCTACTCGACTTGGCACTTGAACCTCCATCCAGGCTTGTGCCACTTGTGTCCTCAAATCCTTGGCAAATCCAGTTGCTTTGGGATACTTCTATCCCATTCTTTCATGATCAGAGTCATCTCCCGAGGACCGCATCTGATTTCACCAACAAAGCACGACCAAACAAAGTGACCTGGCCATGGGTCAAAATCCAAATCGTACCCCCAGTGAACATCCCAATTCCCACTAAAATCGACTAAAATGGGTGGTGCACCTACCCCAAAATGATACCATTGGTTTTGACCCACAGCCACCTCCTTTGGCCAAATAAGAAAGCTGCCATCATGTTGCAACAATCTTTGTGCACGCCCTGTCTCTTTTCATTTCAACAACCCGCCAACCTTTCGGAAGAGCAGTGCGATGAGGGCGGGGATTGCTAGTGAATGCAAATGGAAGTAATGCTTGACGCCCCGAACTATAGCTCTGTGTGCGTGAGCTCGAGCCCAATTCTAAGTAGCCAAAGGTGGATAACATAGCTAGTGCTAGAGCCTCAAACCGTGAACCGCGACCAAAAAATGGGCCAGCCGGCGGCAGGGCAGGAGCCCGCAAGTTGTTTCACAGGGATTCGATGGCAGAAGTCGGCCTCTTACCGCTATGCTCAAAAGCAATATACAACTTGGACCCTTGCCACTTTATGCCCGAGGAGCTGTAGAGTAGCCCCAGAAGTTACACAATTGTTCGCCGTTCTCCGGGTTCTTCCTTGCGACGTGCTTGGCTCAAGCATCTTTCACTCTGTCTCTGAATTGATCAACGAACGCTCCATGCCGAAGGCAAACACAGCCTATTTGCATCAGTCGCCATGACCCAACACATGAGAAGCGTGAGAAGTCCCTCACAAAAAAGCACGACCTTGCACGAATGTTGGCATAGACTCCTGGGGCAAGCAGTCTCATCGAACTCGTAGACTGGCAACAACCTCAGTGCCACTTCGCAAGCGATGCAACAGCACAACCTGCCACGTAGTCACTAATGCAAAGAAAATCTGGGCTGCTCAAGCACATCTCTTGCAGATGTGCTAGAAGACAGTGCACAGCAAACCACCTTGCCCAACTCAGCTTCCAGCTCTACAGCATTGATCCCCAGCTTGAGCAAGTGGGGAATCTTTTGGATGAAACCTGCCAGGCTCAGCAACAGGCCAACCGGCTGAGCGCCACCCCTGAGCAGTGCAGAACAGTGGATTTTAGGGAAACTGGCCAGGCGTGTTTCAAAGGCAAGCCTAGCATCAGGCTTTTTCAAGCTCACGCAGCCCGCCTAAAAATGTGCCGGCAGTAGCGTCCCAATCTTGCAGCTTGCTGTCCGGATTCCTTGGCTCCAAATGCGCAACCGACTCCGTTTTACGATTCAATGGCTGCAGCGATGGCTCACACTATCTGACGTTAAAGCATGGCAAGAAGCCGAGTGAAACCGCGCACATGTGCTTCGTAGATGACCAAGTCCTTCAAATGAAGGTTTGGCGGCTTCACGCCTTGGTGCCAAGACATCCAACTGACTCTCACCCTTCTTTGACATTTGGTGGGATCATAGCAACCTCTACAGCACACAAGGTTGAGGTGTTTTTTTGGCTAGCCCCGGCTTTTTACTGGCCACGCTCAACACACCTCCCCACATGTGCCTTTAAACAGGCTTGGCTGGGAACCCCAACCAAGTCTCAACTGCAACCAAACCACAGCCAATATGCAGCCCTAAAACCAAGCGCGAGTAACCAACCAACCAACTAACCATCCATCTATCCATCTATCCATCTATCCATCTATCCATCTATCCATCTATCCATTATCCATCTATCCATCTATCCATCTATCCATCTATCCATCTATCCATCTATCCATCTATCCATCTATCTATCCATCCAACCGTCCGGGGTCCCGGCCAGGGGTAGACAAAAAAGAACCAAACACCGGTTCCCGCCACCCACCAACTCACAAAACACAATGCATACCCTCATGGCATATGCTACACGCACTACACACACACACACGCCAACCACAAACACAAACACACAACAAGAACAAACACAAACAAACACACGCACACACAAACACACACACACACAGACACAGACACACAGACACACAGACACACAGACACACAGACACACAGACACACAGACACACAGACACACACACACACACACACACACATATATGCACGCACGCACGCACGCACGCACGCACGCCCGCACGCACGCCCGCACGCCCGCACGCCCGCACGCCCGCACGCCCGCACGCACGCACGCACGAACCCACACACACACGCACACACACGCACACACGCACACACGCACACACGCACACACGCACACACGCACACACGCACACACGCACACACGCACACACGCACACACGCACGCACGCACGCACGCACACAACAAACACATACATAAACACAAACATAACACTATCATAAACAAAAACATAAACACAAACATAAACACAAACATAAACACAAACAACAAACGATACACGCAAACCAACAAACGCAAACAAAGGTTACATAAACAAACAAACAATCAAAGAAATGACAAAACAGGAAAACAAGCAAACAAGCAAACAAGCAAGCAAGCAAACAAGCAAACAA